TAATTTATTATACGTTAAAAATATATGGCTGTCAATGAAATATATTTAGAAATATTTGGCTTTTATGGCTCTCCCAGTCGAAAAGGTTCCCGACCCCTGGTTTAGAGTATTGGCCGCTATAAATGTCCACGTCATATTCATATCACGATACAGGCAGATGCAAGCACCCATTGCCGTGCTGCCATCTCATGGACACTTTGCAGCCAAGCCTACAGCACCTGTTATTTAGTCTATGGGTCTTTCGGTAAAGCCACGTAGATAGAAAAATAATAAAAAATATCACGACGTTTCGATCGCAACACAAGCAATCGTCATCAGGTGAGAGAGAGAGAGCTGCTGAGACAAGGTCTTATATAGGCCTGAGATGGGTGCATCAAGGTAGAGCTAGAGATGGTCCAACCAACGGAGGCTGGGGCAGTGGCGTTTGTCTTGTGAGAGATTAGCCTGTAGGGCAACACCAAGGCTGTAGAGGTGGCCATCGTATTGTGAGAGATTAGCATGTCAATGTAAGAGAACCACCGCAATGGTGGATGGCTTCATGAACGAATCTTTGTTGATAGCCAGTGGGTTTGCAAAGTACCTTCTTCTTGGAAAAATCTATTTCGTGTGTGCCCACAGCGTTAAAACAATGATCAGCCACGGCCGAGGTATTGGTCCTACCGTGTTTCAGATCTGCCTTGTGTTCACGAACACGGTCCCGAGACATGTCGCTGAGATTCGCCAATGTAACTACTGCCGCAGCCACAACTTAGTTTGTAGACACCGGGGTATTGCATGTTATCCTTCACAGATGGGATCATATCACGAATTTCATGTACTGTGTTAAATCGAACCTGGATCTTGTGTTCATGATTTTGGAAATCTTTTTGGTAACCCCTGCCATGTATGGCAAGGTGATGGTTTTACTTGGGTTCTCAGATGGTTCTTTCCCAGGCAGTCGTCAGCATTAACCGGCTACAATCCCACCGCTTAAGCTCGACCTCTCTCAGAGAGTCAACTTCTGAGTGAACTCTTTCTGAAAGGTCGAGGGGTGAATAGAAACAAAGATAGACCCCGCCCGTATATACTCATGTGACTATGCAGTGTGTAGAACGATCCCTTCGATAAATTATTCACGTTACCTCCTCGCTGCAAGTATTAAGCGCACAAGCTGCTCAAATCGCTCCGGCAAGGAGGTAAATCCGTGTGCAAACCAACCGTGGCTTTGAATTCCACCAATCAGTGGTGGCTTTTATGATCGACGAACGCTTGCGCGAAGAGCGGTAGCACATTACCCCTCTCCCCCTCGCGCCCCCCCCCCCCTCCCAAGTTTGTTTGGTAAGAAATCATTGGCAGGTCTCTTTCAGTATCCCATTTTTCCTGAGTGGAACAAGTAAAAAAAAACTGGCTCAAAGATTCCAAGACGAAATCGATGGAAAGTACTTACACGAGTGGAAGACGGTCTTGGCTGCGACATGCAGGCGAGAGGGCACATTTGATCGTGAAGGGGAGAGGAAAAGAGCGACAATTGAATAATGTACACACAACACAGACACATCATGAACAAATCATCTCGCAAAGTGGCACGTGCAGCAGTCGTGTTTGAATACCGTTGATGACACACAAGATGGCCGCTTGTCAGACCCTCCCTGCTGATTTGTTTCCAAATGCAGGCTGCACTGATAGGCAGGTATTGGCAACTTGGTCTGAATTGTGCATGTTGGGGGCCGTCCATAAATGACGTCACGCGATTTTGGACAATTTTTGACCCCCCCCCACCCTCGTCACACGGCGTCACAAAGTCAGACCCCTTCTCAAATATGACGTCACAAAGCTCTGCCCCCCCCCCCCCAAAAAAACATGCTTTAAATCGCTTTAAACTATTGTCATTGTAGTGCGTATTTAATGTGGCGCTGCACTGATGTTGTAGGATACAAATATTTATTAAAAAGTATATTTAATTAAGTAGAACGTGTTGTCTATATTTATTTAAAGTTGTGCATTTTGATGGGACGTCACATTTCTCACCCCCCCACCCCGTCACACATAGTCATAAATGTCTGACCCCCCCCCCCCCCACTAGGTGCGTGACGTCATTATGGACGGCCCCTTGGCTAAACATGTGACAGCAGTAACACTTATCCCCAGAACTCTACTTTGCTAGTGGGTGATGGGGGGCGGTGGGCAGAGAGTTAAAAAGTCGTTTTGTTTGCCAAAGTGACCAAATTAGTGCAACGTGTGTTAAATTATCCAGACACACTTTGCCTGCAGAGAGCAAAACCGGGGGACTTCCAATTGAGCACATGGAAAGTATGACATTAAGGAGGTCCAATTACTGGCCGATGCCGACTTCGCAAAAGTAATGCAGTTTTAAATATTTAAACGCCCGCATTCTCCGCTAATATGGAATGCGCTTCGTACAATTGGGTCATCTGAAATGGGAATGCAATTGAGCAGTGTCCGAGTGATTACACTTTACGGGTTCCCCGCGTGAAACTAAATGTATGATTACCTGGAGGTACAATGCACATTTGTACGGTGTCTTTTCCCTGCGCCTTACAAAGGTGTTTGCGGTTCTTTGTTTCGGCCCGTTTAGATATTAAGTGAATCCCAAGCAGAGCATGCATTATTCATGACGCTCATAGAGCTTATAGAGATCTCCCCCCCCCCCCACCCCAGGGCTGTCTTTGCTGATGATTTTTTAATGGCTGCGTTTGGATCCCTTCGGAAAAAAGTCTGGGGGGGGGGGGGTAGGGTTGGTTTTCGTATTTTTTGGCTCGAGCCGGCATTTGTTTTCCGCGGCCGCGCGTGAGAGGCCGGCGCTTTGCGCGCTGGCACGGGGGTCAGCGCCGTCAATCGCCAAGCGTGTCACGTGTGCTCACCGTGCGAAGTGTAGCCCGAATACCACCAGCTGTAGACGTTGAACTCCATGAAGAACCTGACGGGATCACGGATAACTATATTTTTCCAGCGTACAAACCCGGCCGCGCGCGCCAGGAAGCGCCAGGTCGTTTGTTTTTGTTTCTTTCTCTGCAGCACGAGCCGAGCTCACGAGCTGTGCCGCCAATGTCACACGCGGTAAACAAGTCGAGACGCATTCGGTGTGTTTGAGTTGTGCAGTGTACCGACCGATGTCACGTTTAATGAACGAGTGAAGATGCATGTCGACGATCCGGTGACGCTGTGCTTGAGTTTTGTACTGGCGGCGTGTGAAACGAACGCGTCATTAGCTCATGGACCTGCTTGGCCCCGAGACAGATTTCAGATGTTTGTGAGGGCAGCGTATGTCAAGGTTTGGTTCTGGCTCGACACGGCAAACCCACCCACACCGCGAAGACCTCTGCGTCGGCTCGCGCTGGGAGGTGCCAGTGGGAAAATTGGTAAAACAGTGCCGCATACTGTCCACGCCACGGCACTCAAGAGGTGATGGAAGGATTAAATTGCCCCATGCGCTAATTTGCTCCATGGAAGTTCCGATCGAAAATTGCCTCCATTGGTGTTTCCTGGCCTGGGTAAGTCATCAACCGGCTATTCTTACTTCACCATTCGCTGATCGCCAATTGCGTAAAGACGCCCACTCCTCTAGTTCTAACTTAGCTATCAAGGAACCAGGTTTCATCAGCTGTGAACTGCTGTGATCTTAGGTCGTATACTTCGGTGGTATTACCACCTTAGTTCATGGTATACTACTTAACGTGGAGAACGTTGAAGTTAAATCCATTTAATAATGATGATTTCAACTTGTAATGCGCCATATTTGATTTGTTCACTCTCGAAGATAAAGAACGACTCGGAGGCATGAGGAACCACAAAGAGGTAGGAAGGAAGCAGCCGGGTCGTGAGCTGGTGCCAACAATTGTCCAAGCTCTGTGCTCCTCTATATATTAAGATGTTTTCAGCCAGAGCAATGTGTCTATACGTGGGGGACGAAACCGGAGCACCCGGAGAAAAACCCACGCGTGCACTAGGCAACATTCTATCCCATATGGATGTAACCAATGGAGATTTTGTTAACATTCTGCTGTATCGCATTATCCAGGAAAGTCAGGGAATGGCACCTCAACACTCACGAGATGAAGACCTACCCCAAACCGTCATAATCACGGGGGTTGTTTGACCATACTTCACCATGGCTGTCACTGCGGGTTTTCCAAAGTGGCACCAATTTCTTATATGGGCAAATAGAAGTCATTTATGCAATTACCTGCTCATTTTTGTCAATGGGTTTCACGTAGAACACTTTTCATTGCCAGTGTTAGAGACATTGGTGCGAGTGGAGATTTCCCTTCCACGTGTGGCACCCATAAGGTGATGTACGGTTGTTGGGCATTGGGCTCACGCATTTCCTATTGATATTTCACAATGTGGATGGGAATGAGAGTACCGGTGACAACACTGTGGGTAGCACACCGGTATTTATATTTATAAATACAAATGAGTCTTAAGACTCATTTTAGGGAGGGTCCTGCCAGTGGCTGATTCAGGGTGTGGGGGCAATACGGGCAATCCCCCCCCCCCCACCATCGACCTCCACCCCCTCCCACACCACCTGGAGACTCCGAAAAGAGGTAATCTATTTCGATTTAAAGCTTTCGTGACTGCAGGGATTCATCTTCTTGGTTCTTTCGGTAAAGTCACGTAGAAGGGAAATAATAAAATAATAAAAATAAAACATAATAAAATAAAGAAAATATGATTTTATTATGTTTTATTTTAATTATTTTATTTCCCTTCTACGTGACTTTACCGAAAATAAAACATAATAAAATAATATTTGATTTGATTATGTTTTATTTTTATTATTTTATTATTTCCCTTCTACGTGACTTTACCGAAAGGATCAAGAAGATGAAAATAATAAAAATAAAACATAATAAAATAATATATTCTTTTATTTCCTTTATTTTAATTATTTATTATTTCCCTTCTACGTGACTTTACCGAAAGAACCAAGAAGAGGTAATCTATTGATATATATATCAAGTAAAGTACCGTATATTGAATGTTTATTGTGATTAATGTAGGGACTTATTTAAAAACTTGGCATTTTGGGATCTCTCCTAAATCCCTTGGGAAGCTCCTAAATCTGCCCCCTGCATTGGAATATTTGGCAAATTTCCTGCAGGAATTGAAGTGCCGAGACAAAACCGAAGGGAAACGAAAGGATAACACAAATAAAAAAAACACAGGCAGGTTCACGTACGGTACCGACTTTCTGTACTGCCATCTGCTGGCCAACGCATGCCTCAGCAGGTTTGAGAATTTCGCGAGCGAACACGATCCACCCAGCCCCCCTGCACCCCCCCCCCCAGTGCTGGACCATCACAAGCGTGTTCCGATATATTTCCACGAGTGCGGGATTTTAATCGTCGCAATTAGTCCACAAGAAAGCGTAGATGCACGCGCGAAGGATGCACGTGCTTGTTGCGGTGTCTGTGGCGATGTAGTGTTTGTGCTAGGAATGGGCCATTTCGTGGGCGCGAAAATAATAATAATAATGTGGTGCATGTGCTAATTAGTAGGCAAGAAAATCTGTTGCCCATAGCGGTAGATGTTGGGTTCTGCTGTGTTGGGATAAAAGGTGGAAGTTGCACAAATACTCGACTGTTTGGTGCTACCCTAACTATTATTACTTTCATCATCATTATCATCATGATCATTATCATCATCATCACCTTCATCATCATCAGCATTGCCACAATCATCATCATTATCATCATGATCATTATCATCATCATCACCTTCATCATCATCATCATTGCCACAATCATCATCATCAGAACCAGCATCATTATTTGTACAGCGTTTCGAGATGCGGTTTACATTGGAGGTATAAGAAATAGACATTGCGTTGAGCTCGCTTGCGACAATCACCAGCGCTCAGAAGCTGTTTCCCGGGTCTCAGCCATGATAATGTAGAATTTCAGAACCGCCAAGACGTTCACCACCCAATTCTCATTTAAGCAAAGAGGACACCGGGAGATTTTGTTTTTAATTTTGACAGAAAACTCGTGAGTTACAAATGTGAAAGTGTCCCAATGTAGGACCATTCTGAAAAGGATTGGCATTATTATTTTGTTATTTATGACGCAGAGTATATTGATGTAAAGTGTGTATTTTGTGTGTGCCGTGTGATTGCTACAGTGCAGTGATTATGCAGATGGCTAAGATTATACTCCCCGTGTATAATATCTTTAGACGCCGACTTCATCGTTTAATTATATTTTTAACATCGCACACCAAGCCTTATAAGCCCACATTAGGCTTAACATGGTGAGACGTATGCGCTAATTAAATAGCCAAGCATGGATTAATGATGGCATTACATTTAATGTGCACTTACACTGCCAGTTCGGTTACGATCCACTTCATCGCCGCGATGAAGGAATGGTACGGCTGCAAATAAAACACACACACAAACAAAGACAAAGGTCCCCCATTTGCGTTCCACAGACCATGTGGGGCAAGTTCTGGAAGGTCACGAAAGTGTGAGTGGTCAGCACGACGCCCGGCCGAATTGTTCCCATGATTGTGATGTTTACACAACCGCGCCTGGGACTCTTTTTTAAAGGCTGAGTCGACCTAGGGGAGGCTCAGGGACCAGTTCAAATATTCGTCATCAAATGTAGTTCCCGAGCGGGAATTGAACTTTGTTTTGCCGGGCTCGCATCGCCACCGCCCGCCACACACACATCTCCACTGGCTACGTGCGGTGCCAGAGAAGTTCAATACATTGCATACGTACGCACGTGTGTGCGCGCGCGCACACGCAGAGGCGCACACAACTGCTTGTTGAGCCAAGTGCTCCATTATAGTTGGCGACAACGCCCAAGGTGTTGTTGTTGTTGTTGCAGCACCGTGCCGCAGTGCTGCAACATTACAGGACCACGTTGCTTTGCTCCGGTGGTAAAAGCGCGCGGTGCGATCGAGTGAGCGAGCGAGCATGCCGCTGCGAAGTCTATTTTTGAGCGCAAGATGCCCGCGGGGAAGCAAGGGGTGGAGGCGAGGGGGGGGGGGGCTTTGTGAGAAAGAGGGCAACGCAAAGCTGGGCGAGCGTGAGCAGATCTGCCGTTCAATTAAATTCGAACGCTTCGGGAATCGCGGGTCACTCACGTTGAGCAAGTTGAAAGCGCTGCTCTCATATTCCAGGTGCCTCTTGCACATGGCTTGGTAGTCGTACATCTCCCGTCTGCAATGCAACGGAAGTTATTTGCAGCGGTCCCGCTTGCCACGGGTGAGAAGGGGGAGTCGAAGGGCAGCTCGTATGGGACAGGCTGCAGGCAGCACTGATTGATACTCAGTGCAAGACTGGTTAGCCTCGGTCTGCGTCACCTGGCCACCATCTCCCGCGTGGTTATAGGGGCCGTCCATAAATGACGTCACGCGATTTTGGACGATTTTTTACCACCCCCCCCTTCGTCACACGCCGTCACAAAAATTCAGACCCCCCCCCCCCTCAAAAATGACGTCACAAAGCTCTGCCCCCCCCCCAAAAAAAAATGCTTCAAATCGCTTTAAACTATTGTCATTGTAGTGCGTATTTAATGTGCCGCTGCACTCTGATGTTGTAGGAGAAAACATTTATTAAGAAGTATTTTTAATTAAGTAGAACGTGTTGTCTATATTTATTTAAAGTTGCGCATTTTGATGTGACGTCACATTTCTCAACCCCCACCCCACTCGTCACACATCGTCACAAATGTCTGCCCCCCCCCCCCCCCTAGGTGCATGACGTCTATTTAGGGACGGCCCCGTTACAAGCTTATAAACGCCACAAGATTGTACATGCAAGGACATTTGTGTTTGTTAATCCGTGACCGGACGAGGGCCTTCCCATGCCGTGCTTTTTTGAGCGAGGTTATTTGGCCATGCACTTCGCTGAGCTGGTGAGAATGGGTTGGTGCAAGTGGGGAGCGTACACCTCCTGGGAGACGAGAAGTAGAGCAGAACAAATGTTGTTACAAAGACCCTACGCTGCCCACAACATAGCCCAACAGCCCCGTGGCAACTTGCTCTGTTCCTGGTGGTCAACCCATACGAGAAGCATCCAGGCTCACAACTGCTTAGCTACCAAGCTATGACAAGATTAATCACATATTCTTAGGTTGTTTCGGTAAAGTCACGTAGGTAAAAAATTAAAATTAATAAAAGTAAAATAAAATAAAAATCACGACGTTTCGATTGCAACACAAGCAATCATCATCAGGTATAAATGAAATAGCAACAAAAAATTCTAACCAGAAAAACTATAGACAGACATATAAGCAGACAGATATCACCAAGATACATAGAGAGAGTAACACAGGTACAGAGAGGGAGATCGTCTCTGTTGAGTGGCCTTAAATAGGCAGAGGGGGCAGAGAGATGGAGGGGATTAGATAAAAAATTAACATGTCAATGAGTGCGGAAAACGCGTAGTAAAGTAAGCAAGTTTGAACATGTTTTACCTACGTGACTTTACCGAAAAAACCTAAGAATATGAATCCTTGCAGTCACGAAAGCTTCAAATCCAAGATTAATCACGTTCGGGGTGATTTCACCATCGGGATAAAACTGTACCCCGATTAAAATTGCACACCTACATAGAGGCATTATTGGTAAATTAAAAACAATGTTAAATGAAAAGATCGGATTTTTATTTTGTTTTGTAATCGTATGAACAGCCTGTTGGTAATTGTTTTTACTCTTTTATCTGGCAAAACAAAACTGTCACCTTTTTTACAAGAAGTCATGTTTGCATTGACCACAATACCTGCGGTCGGAATGCAAACAAAAAACACAACTCTGATAATGTATGCACTGTCAGTTTTGTTGCCAGATAAAAGGGTAAAAAACCAATTATCATATTTTGCTACTGGCAAAGGATGTTCCAATGGAGCCTGTTGGTAACGAAGAGTTTTTCTCGTTCGAAAGCCCTTCGCTTCTTTTTCTAAGGCGGTGCTATTTAGTGAGGAATTAATATATTTCTCTACCGGCTGACACAAAATTGCCGAGATTTCCACGGGAATTCACCGTCCAATGGGAAGCAGTGTCGGCGGCTTTGACCAGTGGTGGTTGTGTGGCCAACAGAGGTAGGGTAAGGGCCCAAGGCCGCCACTGCGCCAACCGTGGCACTTGCCAAGGCCCTCCAACTGGTCTGAACACTCCATCAATACCAGCCCGACCACCATCATTACCACCACGAACATTACCCCCACATGCAACACCACCACCATTTGTACCATTACCACGACAATCACCACCAGCCAGCACCATTACAACATTACCACCACAGCCAATTGTCACTATGATCACCACCACAATCATCACTACCGTTACCAGCATCACTATCATTAACATTACCTCTACACAGCTCTCTCATTTGACTACATCTGTTCCATTCGTATATACCCACATCAGCACTCTCATCACCATCAATGACACGATCACCACCATCACCACTAGAATCACCACCATCAGCATCACCATTCCCATTAAGTCCACAACTCGCATCACGACCACGTTGTTGCTTCACATGCTATGCAAACGATATCCTCCACTTACACTCCACAGAACACGTGCTTCTCACTTGCTAAGTTCCCACGCGGTGACGCGGCCCAGCGGTAACGTGTCCTCCACTTGCTGCAGAGGTTCGCGGTTCGAATCGCGCGGCCACCCCGATTATCACCGCGTGTTTGATCCCCATTATTATAATGATAATACGCGCCCTGCCTGCTTCGCAGTGGACGTTAAAGATCCGCTGATGTCGTCCACAAGAGCAGGCCATTGTGTGTCGGCGTCAGGGTGCAAATTTGCCATCTCAGAAAATTTCCCACAAATTGCTGCGGTTGATGGTGGTGAAGGTGGCACGTTGGCCAATCCTGCTCGCCCGGTTAACGTTCTCGCGGTCGTCTCTGCGTCCCCGCCCCGACACCCGAACTCACCGTATGAACGCTCCAACGCTGAGCAGCTCGCTCATAACGGCCCCGTCCACCACCCCGAAGAATTCTCCCGTCTGCGGACAGGCGAGAGGCGCGCGTGGATAACGTGGGGATGGTGAGTTGGTGCTGCTAGCAAGCTCAGCAGAAGCTTAGGGGGCCCCCGATCGGCTCAAGGTGCCCCGGATTGATGGAAAAAAATATGGGACCATCAAATATCGAATTAAATTTAAATCCTTATAAGCATGGCAAAATGGCAATAATCTCATCAGTACATTGTCTGCATATCCCTTTTTTAAAAATCTAACTTCATGTCGCTCTTGTCCAAATCTCTTCCATTTCACTCTCATCTCACCACATTTCTTTCTCTCGCCTACGTCTCTTCTGTTATCTTATTCGGTTTGGTGAAAAATATAAAGCGGTGCTCCAACACTTTAGATGGTGACCGTGACATTTTTGATTTGCATTTCCATCGTGATATCGGTATTGCTGGGTATGCACGGTGCCTCTGGAAGTTGGCAGCTTTCACACACACGGCAAATAACAAAAACGTCAATCGTTACTTTATGAATTTGTATACAATTGGGAGTCAGTATACATTGCGGTTTCATTCGTACATAAATGTTGGTAATAAAGATGTAGCAATGAGTAATTATTATTGTTAATTGTGTTAGAAACTAAACATTTCTTGTATTTTATTTCCACATTTTGGATTGTCCCCCTTCTCGCTGTGCTAATTTAAATCCCGTTTTATGTCGTTCATATCCATAACACAAATATTGTGGCTTGGCTCTCCAACACACCGGTGTGCTGTACTAGTGACGAATTGGCCACGTTCTGTTTACGTGACAACCCTTACTAGTTGGCTGTGTCGGGTGGTGACGGGTTTTAACGACACGTTTATATATTTACGCGATCTAACCCCCAAAACCCCCCTCTATTATGCATGATATTGGTCGCGAAAGCCTCCTACGTGTTAAACCGTTAATATCGTTGTATGCACGACACCGATATTATGGGTCGCTTCTGCTTGGCTGCTTGGCTACGGTTTCGGCAGCAGAGGGCAGTGCAGTACAACAACACCCGTTGTTGTACTGCACTATGCTTCCGCATCTATGCTCTCCCCACCTTCACCAACCCGCACGGAGGATGGTCAAACATGCCCCCATAACCAGCACGGCACGGGGAGGCCCTCATCCAGCAGTGACTTGACAAAGGGGCCATGCGTGTGAAATGTATATTTAAAGCTAAGCATCTTTAAATAAAGAGATCCTTCTGGATTTGAAGCTTTCGTGACTGCAGGAATCCACACTCTTTTGTTCTTTCTGTAAAGTCACGTGGGTAGGAAACATAATAGATCACGACGTTTCGATCGCAACACAAGCGACCGTCATCAGGTGAAACAATCACAGCAGGGAAACTGCTGAAACAGGCTGTTTCGAAACGTCGTGATCTATTATTTTCTGCCTACGTGACTTTACCGAAAGAACCAAAAAGAGTAGAGAGATTCTTGTTCTAATTAACTCTTATTCAGATTTAAAATTATGTTTTGTTTATCACTGTTCTGCTGTATTGATGTAGAGTTCATGCGCACTTGCAATCTTATAGACAATCTGTTGTTTCTCAACTGCAGTTTTTGCGATTTTAACGTGTTTGTTTTTTTAAACGAAATGTTCAGCCTCTTTGTGCTCGTTTCACTGTCGCTGCCATTCGTTGTCACGTGCCACGAGTCGACACAAAGGCAAATTTGTGAATTTGGGGTGGTAGTCGGGAGGGGGAAGGGCGAGATGGGGGGGGGACAATGTCAAGGAACAGCGATTATTGATGCGTCAATTTCAGACGTTGCTCAATATTTCCGAAGTAGCGGCGACGGCGTCATTTTACCTCCCAGCGTTTTTTTTGTTGTTGAGGTAACTGCCGAGAAGCCATCACGACGATTGAAGGAGACAAATATTACGAACGTTCTCAACCGCTGATCGTTGGCAGCTGTTTCGGCAAATGGCAGCGATGTCGCTACGCCCCGGAATGTCACCATTCAAGCAAAGGTTTGAACGTTCAGTTTTTAGCCATCGAAATCTGACGATGCAAGCAAGTAGGACTTTAATTTCACATTAATTGGAGATGATTTCATAAAATGGATGACAGCGGGCGGATGACGATAATGAGAATCAAGTATTTTGCACATTTGAGCTAAACGATACAAGACACCGTGCGTGCCTACGGCGATGGGCATTGCCAAATGTGGCTTCAGAGCTTGCGATCGAATTAGCCATGCTACTTACAGCGCTTCGGAATAAATTAACGCTCAGCTTCGTGCAATGCACGGTCCAATTGCGCTTATGTAAACACGCGCAGCAGAAGCAGATGTTTTGAAAGATGAATATTTGACATAAGGTAAGACTTTTTTTGCATGACATCCCATGACTAAATACAGCGAGGTGAAGGTAAACATGTGGAGCCCAGCGACTGCTGTCGAAAGGCCCTCCACGAGAAGGAACTCTCGAGAGCCGGGTTATTTGGCCTACTCTTCCACGCTGGCCAGACGGCTTAGAAGAAGTGGGAATACCCACGCTATACCCCCAAGAGAGCATCTACGAACGTCAAAGCAATTTGCAGCTCTCATTCAATCCACGACTCCCTGAACGCCTTCCCGCGTTCCTTCAATGGGGGTTGTTTGACCCACACTTAGCCACGCTCTTCAGTACAAATTGGTGAATGTTAGATTTCAGACTCGACTGGGAATCGAAATCAGATCAGTGGGTTTGATAATGTGATAACCGTCGCTCCAGAGAGATGTGTAACAATTAAAACTAAATATTGGAGTTAAATAATAAATAATCTGTGCAAACACAATATGGATGTATAAACATCACGATGCGTGGTCAGAAATTGTGATATAGCAACAGTTTAGTGTACTAGTTTTGAAATGTCTTGACAGCCACTCATACACCGGTGCACCGACACATAACTAGATGGGCTTCGCTCACTGATCGTAATCATGACGAGGGTAGCACTGCAAGACGCCTCTGCACTAGGAAACGCTGACCGGAGGTGAAAACAAATGTCAAAGAAATGCCTCTAAAAGTTTCGGACAAGGGCAAAAAACGGGGGTCATCGATCCTCTGAATGCACGGCTAGAAGATGGTGCTTGTGTAGTGACACGGAATGGGTCACTACGTAGCATAGCGCTGGTTGCTGGCAGAGAAGGGGCTCTGCAGTTGCAGCAGCCCTGTCTGTGAGCAGGTCACCGGATACGCAGGGAGAAGGATGTAGGGATAGAGGGGGCACGTGAGGTCACCCCGGGAACCCGTTGGTAGGTTCTAGAAGGGGGGCGTGGCCGGGGCGGAGCGAGGCCACGCTGGGAGGATAAAAGGGGACCCCAAGCGAAGGCTCGGGGCTGTCGCTGTGAGCGGGATCCCCTCGTCGTGCTGCTGGAAGTCTTCGTCGCCGTCGTCACCATCTCGGCGTCGTCAGTCAGGCAGTCTGCCAGCTGTCCTGACTGGGAGCTGTAGTTACCTTTGTATCCTGAGAAGGCTGTTAATAGAGTGCCTCCTACTCCTAGTGTCTCTGAGTCAGTCACTACACTTGTACGTTATTTTTTTTCGAGTCATGTCAATGGGAGGGACTCATGTGACCCACAAAAGCAGGTCATTGTTTGGGTGCAAAAGCCAAGGGTTAGAGCAAGGAAGCCGCGTAGCTGTGACCCTGTGTTGTGTCTGAGGGGTTCATGTGGAGGTGTAATGTTCCTTTGTCTGAAGGAGTGGCATAGCTATCGAGTGTGCATGTGGTGCAACTGCTCATGGGCCCACGTAGAAATGTATAGCAGCAGTAGTCAAATAGAATAGAAATAATAAAATAATAAAAATCAAACGTAAAAAAATTATTCTTTTATAATGTTTTATTATTTTATTATTTACCTTCTACGTGACTTTACCGAAAGAACCAAGAAGATGAATCCCTGCAGTCACGAAAGCTTTAAATCGAAATTTAGTAGTCAAATACTCTCGGCAGCAGCCTTTGGAAGTCCGCAGATGGGGCCCCATTTCCATACCTCGCAACAGGGCCGGTGGCCAACCATGCCGTGCCACGCCGCTCGTCTAAAGTGCGCTTCTGCAAGACGGGGTTCATGTGGAGGTGTAATGTTCCTTTGTCTGAAGGAGTGGCATAGCTATCGAGTGTGCATGTGGTGCAACTGCTCATGGGCCCACGTAGAAATGTATAGCAGCAGTAGTCAAATAGAATAGAAATAATAAAATAATAAAAATCAAACATAAAAATTATTCTTTTATAATGTTTTATTTTATTATTTTATTATTTACCTTCTACGTGACTTTACCGAAAGAACCAAGAAGATGAATCCCTGCAGTCACGAAAGCTTTAAATCGAAATTTAGTAGTCAAATACTCTCGGCAGCAGCCTTTGGAAGTCCGCAGATGGGGCCCCATTTCCATACCTCGCAACAGGGCCGGTGGCCAACCATGCCGTGCCACGCCGCTCGTCTGAAGTGCGCTTCTGCAAGACGGGGTTCATGTGGAGGTGTAATGTTCCTTTGTCTGAAGGAGTGGCATAGCTATCGAGTGTGCATGTGGTGCAACTGCTCATGGGCCCACGTAGAAATGTATAGCAGCAGTAGTCAAATAGAATAGAAATAATAAAATAATAAAAATCAAACATAAAAAAATAATTATTTTATAATGTTTTAATTTATTATTTTATTATTTACCTTCTACGTGACTTTACCGAAAGAACCAAGAAGATGAATCCCTGCAGTCACGAAAGCTTTAAATCGAAATTTAGTAGTCAAATACTCTCGGCAGCAGCCTTTGGAAGTCCGCAGATGGGGCCCCATTTCCATACCTCGCAACAGGGCCGGTGGCCAACCATGCCGTGCCACGCCGCTCGTCTGAAGTGCGCTTCTGCAAGACGGGGTTCATGTGGAGGTGTAATGTTCCTTTGTCTGAAGGAGTGGCATAGCTATCGAGTGTGCATGTGGTGCAACTGCTCATGGGCCCACGTAGAAATGTATAGCAGCAGTAGTCAAATAGAATAGAAATAATAAAATAATAAAAATCAAACATAAAAATTATTCTTTTATAATGTTTTATTTTATTATTTTATTATTTACCTTCTACGTGACTTTACCGAAAGAACCAAGAAGATGAATCCCTGCAGTCACGAAAGCTTTAAATCGAAATTTAGTAGTCAAATACTCTCGGCAGCAGCCTTTGGAAGTCCGCAGATGGGGCCCCATTTCCATACCTCGCAACAGGGCCGGTGGCCAACCATGCCGTGCCACGCCGCTCGTCTGAAGTGCGCTTCTGCAAGACGCATCCTGCACGCTCACCTCTTCGTCGTTCTTGGAGACGATGACGAATCCGTTGTCGTCTACGATGTAGCAGTTCAGCGTCTGGCAAGAGGGTAACCGACGGGATAAATACCACAGGCAGTGTGCAAGGTGAAGGCCCCATTGCGTTCGAGTGTAGAAACCTCACCCTGAGATGCGATGCCAGAACTTACCGGGTCCTCGCAGTCGATAGGACATCGGCCTTCGATGGCTGAGCACTGGAAGACAGCGGGAGTGAAGACAGTTTAAATTAAATTGTTATTTTGGGGTTTCCCCCCCCCCCCCAGTAATTTTAGCTGACTAGTGGATGAAAAGGCACATGGAGTCGAGTGTTTCACTCACGTCAGTATCCTGTGGCTGAGATGTCGTTCGTGTACGTCGAGAAAAAAAGAGAATAGGATATTGGTGATTCCACACAATTGTGTAAATACATAGTAACTGGCAAAACTATATTTTATAATCAACGTTTTTGGGTTTAGATCGCGTTATTTATAAATGTGTCGTAACCCTCCACCACCCGACACGGCCAATCAGTAAAAAAGTGTCACGTTGACAAAAGATAAATAGTTCACTGCTTTAGCCCACCGGTGTGTTGAAGCCACAACATTTACAATTTGAGTACGACGTTTCGTTGGTAATTGCATCCAGCATCAAATAACGCGATCTAAACCCAAAAACGTTGATTATGAATAACATTGGTCGCGAAAGCCTACGCGTTAAACCAAAAAAAACGATATTTTGTTATCAATATTAAAACACCAAGAACATAACCTCGGTGTTTTACAATTTGGTGGCCATTTTGTGAGATTAATACAATCCTTTGGTGCTACCGGCTTGTCAAAAATGCATTCGTAATTTCAATATCCGTAGCAGCTGTAGACGAAATTCCATCCTCGCATTAATGCTGAATAACGAGACGCGTCGACACGGTCGGTTTGGATAAAAAAAACAATCACCTCTTCGTTTAATAATTACTTAATCACCTGTTTAGCTGCAGATAAAAACTTCTTCCTGAAGAAGTCCACTTTTATTTGTATTCCCACAGCTGAAAGATAAGTTGGTTGGGGGGGGGGCAGGGGGGGGGGGCAGGGGGAGAGAAGGAGGGGGGTGCAGACGAGAGGGCAGAGCAGTTAGACATCACGAACTTTGTAACGCACAATTAAATCAACCCGGCAGAGCTGCTCCCCACCCACTCGCTGTCAAACTCATGCCAGGACACCGAGGGTTGACTTCAGCGTAGCTCGTGTAATTAAACCGGACCACCTGCTGGTGATCGCGAGAACAATTCAGAGTCAGAATATTTATTTAAACTGAAGGAATCCGATGTGCTGTAAAGCTCTTTTTTTCATGGATGTCCAGTAGCGGGGCGGGGTCAGGACGTTACAGAAACAAAAAACTATAGGAGTGCAAAGTATAGGAAAGGTAAATGAAACCATCTTCTTGGTTCTTTCGGTAAAGTCACGTAGAATTGAAATAATAAAATAATAAAAATAAAACATAATAAAATAATTCTCACGACGTTTCGGCCACAACGCAAGTAGCCGTCCTCAGGTGGAGAACAAGTAGCCGTCCTCGACAGACCTGTTCTCCACCTGGGGACGGCTACTTGCGTTGTGGCCGAAACGTCGTGAGAATTATTTTATTATGTTTAATTTTTATTATTTTATTATTTCAATTCTACGAAACAAGAAGATGAATCCCTGCAGTCACGAAAGCTTTAAATCGAAATTTAAATGAAACCACTAAAAATATTTCCAAATAAAACTAAACATTGTTTTTAACCTTACCAGGTAAGGCCCACTGAGCTATTAGCCTATTTTTCAGAAGCGACCTGGCCACAAATGATAGCTCAGCCAAGTGGCTTATCACGTGGACATTTAAAGCGGCAACAATAATCGAAATAATCTCGACGCATGTTTCTAAATGTGAGAGGGAAAAACCGAAGGACCCGGAGTTTCGTCCCCTTTAGGAGTGGAGTGGAGAGGTTTGTGAGACGATGGGCAAAAAATATGGGGTTCGAATATGTTTGCATTTGAAAACGCAGGTCTCCTTTGGAAAATAAAAGAAAGACGCGTGGTATAAATGGAGATCTCACCTGGTTGTAAATAGATGTTTCTCTCGGTCTATTTTTATCTCATCTTTGAACCAACAAACGAAACGCTAGACTTTACTATTTTTCCGCGGAGAAACATGTTGCTGCCCTTCGGCTGACAACAATGATCGTTATTTGTTCAATATGATTTTCCTTCTGAAAATACAAACAAAATATTGCGGTGGGACGCGTCCGAAACGAGTTTGTTTTTTCTTTCCCGACGAGAGAGAGCGAAGACGTCACGTCATGTTGCGTGTTCTCGCTGGGTTGTTACATCGTACAACTTTCAGTGATGGCGACGACTTTTAGGGAGGCTTCCATCCAGCAGTGAGTGGATTGATCATGGTTCATGATAATGATAATTCGTTTTGGAAAAAAAAATTCACGGCAATCTTGGGCAGTTTTGAATTCATACATTTGACGTACGTTTCTTTTTTACTTTCAAATAAGTGCGTGAACAAAGCAAGTGAAAGTTGTCGGGCGTGGAATTTCGACAACTGATAACAATTATGGACTAAGGTGACATCCTCGAATGTAAGCAGTTTCCTATCCTCGGGCGCGCGCGACACAATGGCACGAGGCCTTTTACCCCGACGATTGCGAGTGCGCAACAATGGACGGGATAGAGTTACACAGCGCGGAGAACACGCTGGTCGTAACAAGGCTTACGGCAAAAACTGCGTCGTGTGTGTGTGTGTCACGCCTAGAACAGCGCATTGTGTGTGCGTGCGTGCGTTTCGTGCGCGCGGCGCCCGGGTGTGTGTGTGTGCCTTTGAGCGAACGCGCGCATCAGTCGCGTGCTCGCTGGGCACGTGTGTGCGTGCAGAGTCCTGTGTCATTTTTTTTGCGTCTATTCCCCCCTCCTCCCCCTTTCACGCTCGCAGCGCAACTGAAGTCGATTTGGCTCGGCGAAAACAGACAGTGCTTGTCAAGTAGGGCATCGTTGTCGTCGTCGTCATCATCATCGTCGTCGTCTTTGCAGCTATTCCCAGCAGAAGCGGTGAGTTCATTTGTTATGATTCCGTCTGCCTTCTTGTTGCGTTCCCATGTGGATGTTTAGAATTAGTGGCTGATTGAGGGCACGTTGTCTGCGCGATATGGTCGTCGTACAGACACGGACTGACTCCGTCGTTGCGACGTGGATGCTTAGGAATTGGTCAAAGTGCCAACGCAGGACGCTGCTGAAAAATAAAGGCTTGAGACTCGGTGAGGCCCAAATGGATACATTACTTAGATTGCTACATTTCATAAAGCACGTGTATTATACGGTCATAACTGGGGTTTCTGCTCAAATTGTGACGTTTTATATCATTGTTGACAGTTCTAATTCCGCTTTATTCTTTGCAATCCAATGCATTTTTTTTACTATATTAAAATAATAAAATGTAACTTCATTAATCATTGACGAAGGCAGGAATACCAATTTACAATCAAATACAATTCTGGTAAAATGTCAAATTGCTTTGTATATGGTTGAACACAGCACCGGCCGTGGCACTGCATGGGGAAATAATGCAATAATGCAGTCTCTTTGCCCCGAGGCTCTCATACACAACATAGCACTGTCACATTCAATAGTAATAACAATGTGACCTTAACCATTATTTCATAACTGTGCCATGACAGGCTGAAAACTCCAACATTCATGAAGCTATTTTAAATGTTTATCGGTACAACACATTGGATGCAAGCATGACGTACCATTGTAAACCACTCCACGAGTTTACATTGAATGTCTGTCAACGTGAATGTATCTATATATATTTACACCACAGCTGCGAAACGTTTAGCGGACAACTAGGAGATAAATAATAGTAAGAATATTAGTTTTATAAACGGCATAGCCACGCGGCGAAACCGGTATCAACAATTGCCCAAACTCCGCATTCCTCTATATATTCAGATGTTTTCAGCCAATTTGTGAGTACTGTATTCATATTTCTTTGCGTCTTTCGGTAAAGTCACGTGGATAGGTTCAAAAAATAATAAAATAAACAAAAAACAATGGACGTTTCGATCGCAAACACAAGCGAGTGTTTCCAAAACCGAAACACGTGGAGGAAACACATATATTGCGTGTATCACGCCTGGCATAAAAAAACAATAATCGGACACGCACGTTCCTGCCCTTCAATGCCCTCACAGTCTGCAGGACTAAAGTGACACATTTTAATCCTCGTGCCTCATATGCTATCGATGACGTGATCGAAGAAGCAACGAGAAGCATGCTCTGCTATTGCCTTTAGCGCCACACTCTGCAAATAATCACCGTTTGGACGTATCACTTTATGTAATTGATTCAGAATCATTCAAACCAACTTTCATAGTAGGCCGACGTCAAAAAATGTAAACATAATCTCCCCCCCCCCCATCATTTTTGGGGTCTCACAATGAAAAACAATTATTTTAGATGTTTTTTCTTGAGTTAAATTAATATCGTGGACAACAATTGTGCCAATGTACGATGTGTAGCCCCTGTAGAACGTCACTTAGTCACAACTGTCTATTTGTAGTGAAGATACCTGCACGCACATGGAGCCATAAATATCTGGATGATGTTCGTGACAACTCCCTGTCTTCAGTCAAGGCTTAGAACTTTGTTGTATATGTTCCCAAGTGTACTTGCATTGGATATCAAGCAGTGCAACCTCCTGTAGTAGGGAAAAGCCTGCAGAAGTGGATATCACTGAACTAATTCTTTAAGGGATTTTTCGATTTAAAGTATTCGTGACTGCAGGGATTCATCTTCTGGTTATTTAGGTAAAGTCACGTAGAAGGGAAGGGAAGTAATAAATAATAAAAATAAAACATAATAAAATAATTGTCACGACGTTTCGGCTACAACGCAAGCAGCCGTCTTCACCTGAAGACGGCTGCTTGCGTCTTTTATGTTATTACTTCCCTTCTACGTGACTTTACCGAAAGAACCAAGAAGATCTTTAAGGGATCTTTGATTCCCGAACTGCTGCTGTTCCACACTCCCTGGCGCAATGTTCGTCGCGTAACAGTCAAAAATAATAAAAATGTTAACTTTCAGAGCTCAAATGTAGTCACATTAAGTGCGATCATTGGTGACTGTGATGAGCCGGTCAACTCAATGCACCTGATAACATGGTTTAATCACAGGCGGCTGCCTGGATTTGGAACCTGAATCCAAGCGGTACCGGCTCCGCGCTCAGACTGCTGGGCTACCGGGCTTCCTCTTGAGGAACTATGTTGAGGTTGAGGGAGCTCGGAGACCAATGCCGAGTAGCCGTCGGGTGCAATGAAGGTTCATTATAATCAAAGGGGTACTGCGTTTGGATTGGCCACTGTCCGAAAGTTTGGGGGACAGCTCGTTGTCCGCCTCGCCCGCTATATTCTCATGCTGCATCATCATCATCATATGATGTTTGAAAACTATGAACTGAACTATAGTGAATTTTTCATAATCAACGTTTTTGGGTTTAGATCGCGTTATTTATAAATGTGTCATAACCCTCCACCACCCGACACGGCCAATCAGTAAAAAAGTGTCACGTTGACAAAAGACAAATAGTTTACTGCTTTAGCCCACCGGTGTGTTGAAGCGTGAAACCACAACATGTACAATTTTTGAGTACGACGTTTCGCTGGTAATTGCATCCTAGCATCATCGGGCAATTCGCCAGAATGGTGAGGCTCTGCTGTGTCTCCCGTTCTTATATAGAGCAGCAGCCGGGTGACGTCATCATTAACTCATCAACTCATCAGGCAAGGCAAGGCCCACACTGAGCTATGTAGCTCTTTTTCAGAAGCGACCTGGCCACAAACGACAGCTCAGCCAAGTGGCTTATCATGTGGACATTTCTCGCAGCCAAACACTCTAAAGGCGTGATGTTGATTCTAAATGTGGAGAGAAAAACCGGAGGAGCCGGAGAAAAATCCACGCGACCACGGCGAGACAGACATGCAGACTCCAATTATACAGCAGCAGGCGTCAGGGTCGGGATCAAACCCACGTCCTCCTGTACGCCAGGCGAGGGAGATAACATCTCCCCACCGCGACGCCCCTTTTAACATTCGAACCGCGTCTCCCACGCAGCACATCTCAAAGCGCCCTGCGGTAAGGAAACCCCCGCTGCCAGCTGTCCCTGCGTGACACCAAGTGAACGCAGCAGCCAGCCACAGCCAGCCAGTAGGCACGAGTCTGCATGTAGGGGGGGGGGGGGTGTTGCTATCTATGTGGCTTCCCAATAAGAAATTTGGGAGCAAAATGATTGCCGGCACATGCAGCCGCATGATCCTTCGCGTCCGCTGTGAATAACCAGGTCGGCCGCTGGGCTAGAACATTTTGTTCGAGCTGATTTTTCCGTTCAGTTTGTTACCGATCCTCCCCCTCCACCTCCGATCAGCACGGTTGGCTACGTAGTGTGCGAAAGAAGTTCCACGTACATACATCCATACGTCAGATTAACACGTAGGCTGTCGCGAACAATATTATCCATAAGAAGTCATCCTGCGTCGTTCACCCACCACCACCCGACAAAGCCAACGGGTAAGGGTTGTTACGTAAACAAAACCTGCTGCTTCCGCGCATCGGTATTATGGACACGTACAGCGTGTTATCGCTGGGCCTTTGCCCTGTTTTGCGGCCTTGGCGACAAACTCAGCAATTTACTTGGCGCAGTGTCTACGCTGCTGCTGCTGCTGATGCTGCTGCTGCTGATGATGCTGCTACTCTCGTGGAGGATGGAGAGGGAGGAGCGGTGCCCCAGGCGCACCTCGCATCGCGACGGGCAACCGTCTGGGACAGCTTCTCACATTTGTTCTGCGGTTGGCGGTAGCCAGCAGAATTTACAGTCTATCTCTCTCGCTCTCAAGCAGACTGCACGAATAGCTTAAACAGACGTTATTCGAATGATGATTGTTATTATTATTTTTTTGTGTAGTGTTTTCGTTGCGTTCTGTTAGACGTTAAGATTATTGTTAGTATTTTTGCCAAGGATCGCATGAAGGTAAGCAAGGTCGTTCAATGCTGCTTGCCATAGCAATGTGGAATTTCCAACATGGCTCAGTGCTGCTGCACACAGCGATGGGCACCACCCTCGTTTGATGTTTAGGTTGGGATTACTGACAATTCCTTTTTTGTAAAGATATATTATTTCGATTCCTGTGTTACAATGCGTTGACCATTCAATGTCTTGAATTAAATTGGCTGGATACGGTGCGCATTTAACGGACCTGTTCTGCTGCTACCAACCCTGATTGATGTTTGTGTCGATCACAAGGATGTCTAGGCTGTGTGTGGTTTGTGTTCTCACATGCTTGTTATTTTTCTTCTCTTCCCCCAGAGGTGACGCGGATTCAGGGACACAGTGTGGATGAAAGGACAACTATCTTCATCTTACAACTCAACAGGCATTGACACCAGCGTCAAGGAACTTTCACATCCATTGGATCCATTGGATTAACTACAATAATAATAAAAAGCCAAAGGTGCTTACTGGCAGATTTGGATCGTCACATTGTCATCATGTACTTGCCAGGTAAGCAGTTTGTTTATTGATCCTTATCTTACCCTGTTGCATTCATATGGTATATTATAATTTTGTTATAATAATTATTACAATTACGCTAATTTACCCAAGAAAAACCTCACTGAGCCTCAAGACACCTTTTCAGGAGAGTCCATGATAAGTTATGCAAGTAGCGGACAATATTGCTGCGTGCAATCCCAATTGAGTAATTTGCAGGTGATGTTTCAGCATTGGGAAGTTTTGGCCAATCTCAGTTACGGGTTTTTAATCTTGATTTGAAGCTTACGGGTTTTTCGTTTAATCTATGCGGGGAAACCAGATCACCCGGAGGAAACTCCATGCAAAACAGGGGGAGAACACACACAACTCAGCACAGAAAGTCTCTTGAGTTGGCAATCGAACCCAGGTGCCTTCCTTCTGTGAGCGAAGAGTGTTACCACTACGCCAACCTGCCGCCTCTGCGATGACGTTTCGCGTGTAAAGATGTGCTACGTAAATTCCAGATAGCAGCAACTGTGCCAAACTTGATCCACCCCAACTAGATTCGAAGCTTTCGTGACTGCAGGAATTACTCTTTGGTTCTTTCGGTAAAGTCACGTGGGAAATGAAATCAAATAATAATAGAATACGACGTTTCGATTGCAACACAAGCAACCATCATCAGGCAAGAATGAATGAGAAAAAACAAACATAGTAAAGTTGGAAATATAATGCAACACAACACAGAGAACCGGCCAACACAACAGCCAACACCCCGCCTGGCTGACCACACTCCTCCAAAGAATGACAAACAGAAAAACAGCGCCACTGTGTCGAGGCCTTACATAGAGAGAGGGGGGTTGGGGCAGAGAGAGAGAGGGGAGGGGGGGATTGGGGCAGAGGACAATGAGAGAGTTGCGTGGAATTCTGGACCATAGTGGCTGGAGGCTGGCCACGCTCCTCCAAAGAAGAGTTGTGTGGAATTCTGGACCATAGTGGCCGGAGGCTGACCATGCTCCTCCAGAGATGAGTTGTGTGGAATTCTGGACCATAGTGGCCGGAGGCTGACCATGCTCCTCCAAAGATGAGTTTTGTGGAATTCTGGACCATAGTGGCCGGAGGTTGATCATGTTCCTCCAAAGATGAGTTGTGTGGAATTCTGGACCATAGTGGCCGGAGGCTGACCACGTTCCTCCAAAGATGAGTTGTGTGGAATTCTGGACCATGGTGGCCGGAGGCTGACCACGCTCCTCCAAAGAAAAGTTTTGTGGAATTCTGGACCATAGTGGCCGGAGGCTGACCACGCTCCTCCAAAGAAAAGTTTCGTGGAATTCTGGACCATAGTGGCCTGAGGCTGACCACGTTCTTCCAAAGAAGAGTTTTGTGGAATTCTGGACCATAGTGGCCGGAGGCTGACCACGCTCCTCCAAAGATGAGTTGCGTGGAATTCTGGACCATAGTGGCCGGAGGCTGACCACGCTCCTCCAAAGAAGAGTTGCGTGGAATTCTGGACCATAGTGGCCGGAGGCTGACCACGCTCCTCCAAAGATGAGTTGCGTGGAATTCTGGACCATAGTGGCCGGAGGCTGACCACAGCTCCTCCAAAGATGAGTTGTGTGGAATTCTGGACCATAGTGGCCGGAGGCTGACAACGCTCCTCCAAAGATGAGTTGTGTGGAATTCTGGACCATAGTGGCCGGAGGCTGACCATGCTCCTCCAAAGATGAGTTTTGTGGAATTCTGGACCATAGTGGCCAGAGGTTGACCATGTTCCTCCAAAGATGAATTGCGTGGAATTCTGGACCATAGTGGCCGGAGGCTGACCACGCTCCTCCAAAGATGAGTTGTGTGGAATTCTGGACCATAGTGGCGGGAGGCTGACCACGCTCCTCCAAAGATGAGTTGTGTGGAATTCTGGACCATAGTGGCCGGAGGCTGACCACGCTCCTCCAAAGATGAGTTGTGTGGAATTCTGGACCATAGTGGCCGGAGGCTGACCACGCTCCTCCAAAGAAAAGTTTCGTGGAATTCTGGACCATAGTGGCCGGAGGCTGACCACGCTCCTCCAAAGATGAGTTGTGTGGAATTCTGGACCATAGTGGCCGGAGGCTGACCACGCTCCTCCAAAGATGAGTTGCGTGGAATTCTGGACCATAGTGGCCGGAGGCTGACCACGCTCCTCCAAAGATGAGTTGTGTGGAATTCTGGACCATAGTGGCCGGAGGCTGACCACGCTCCTCCAAAGAAAAGTTTTGTGGAATTCTGGACCATAGTGGCCGGAGGCTGACCACGCTCCTCCAAAGATGAGTTGTGTGGAATTCTGGACCATAGTGGCCGGAGGCTGACCACGCTCCTCCAAAGATGAGTTGTGTAGAATTCTGGACCATAGTGGCCGGAGGAGAGACCGTGGACTATAAACAAACCAGCACAGCAATATTTAGAGCCAGAAAATCGGAAGTTCGAAAAAGCAAATTTAGTAAAATTAGGAAGTGTAATGCAATGCAACACAGAGAGTCGGTTAACACACAATTGTGCAATCGAAACGTCGTATTCTATTATTTGATTTTGTTTTCTACGTGACTTTACCGAAAGAACCAAAGAGTTGATCCACCCGGTTGTATCTGCTCGGGACTTGCCGTCTGTGAGATTGGCATTTGTACGGGCAGGCAGTTTCTTAGCAATGCCGACTAGAACACAGAAATCATTTAGATAATGGATGCGTAATCTTTTTCGAAAATATTAATTGCGTTAACGTTTCTATGTTATGCATTTTTCACGACGACAGCCTAGATTATAATTGGAAATGTTGCCAAACATTTTTGTAAAAACCTTCCGATAAAAAAATCAACATCGTAATGTTTAATTTCACTACACAGCATAACAATCTGGGAAACAGAATAGTCGTTTATTATTAATCTGCACAAACTGGACCACGTGCTCATCATGGGCCCTAAAACCCCGGCTTACTTCGTGGGGAGGTGGGAGAGGCAGAAACTTGACCTTCAATTCCACCCCTTAATTAATTACAAACAAACCAAACGAATACGTGCGTTCATAGGAAATGCTGGCAAACATTACGCGGAGTTTGGTTCCGTAACGATGCCCTCTTAGGAAGTGGCAGGAGAAGAGAAGCACAGATGAGCGCAGCGAATGGGAGTGACCGCTGTATCGTGCTTACAAAGCGAGAATGCCCGCTCCCCCGTCCCAGCGAGGCACGTTCAGGTGATGTTTCGACCAAATATTGACTTGCGTTTGAGCGGCCTCTTGTTGCTTCAGAACAAACAAACACAAAGATCCACCGTATAGTCTTACATACTGTTGGGGCAAGTGCTGTGAGCGAGCACAGCACACGAGGGAGTGGATAGCAAGCACCATACCCGACCACCTTTGTCTCCCTAGTGGCGATGTTTGCACGCCGCACCAGGTACTCATTTGAGGCTGAGTCGACCTAGGGGAGGCCCAGGATCGCTCCAGATTATTGTCACTGCTGTTGGCCTTGACCGGGAATCGAATCTGTGTTGCCGGGTTCGTAGTGTGGCGCACTAACGACGACACTACCGCTCCACGACATCTGTTGTTTCAGAACACACAACACACACAACACACACAGAGGCCCATGCGCTCATAACCTCTGACTCCCGTGAGTTTGCGCACGTGGCTCAACCGATGTGGCCCAACTTACGAGCGGCATTTGTATCCATTTGTCACCCGTGCAAGGTGACTATTATTTGGGCTCGGAGTGCGGTTATGAAACCCACACCCACACACACGCGTGCTCTGCTCGTGGTATCCATAATAAAGGTTTTTTTTGGAGGGTTAGATCGTATAAGTATAAATGCGTCGTTAAACCTGCCACCACCCGACACAGCAAATTGGTCAAGTTTGTCATGTAAACAACATGTGCCAATCATAGGCAGAGTTTGACATATATTTGGGGGAGGGGGAGGCAGGGGATAGCTTTGTCCCTCCCATTGGGAATCGCGGGTGCATATAATTAATTGGTGTTTTAATCTTAATTGATGGTGCCAATGAGTTACTACTTCAGCATACTAGTGTGTTATGGAGTAAACCCAGAACATTTACGATTCGAGCACGACGTTTCGCTGGTGATTGCAGCCACCGTCATCATGCGATTAGCAAAAATTGTGAAGTCCTCCTGCTTCGGTCTTAAATCGAGCAAACGGGATGGGATGTCATCAGTCGCGAAGACCAGATTTGGGGCGGGGGGGGGTGTTAATGTATAGTCATATAAATTACAATGGATCATGCTAATTTCAGAATATACGGTACCGATTATTGGACGGGTTATTTCAAACAAAACAAATAACCATGGATGCTATCGGTCGCGAAAGCCTACGCGCTGAATTGCCACAGTAATTGCTGCAATTGAGGTCACTCGTTCGAATAATCGACGAGCCGGTTTACAAGCACGTGGCCGCGCGCTGTTTGCTCGTGCTTGTTTGCTTGAGCGATTGTCTTTCTGTGCTCGGCGGCGGCGGACGTTGTGGTGGGGTGGGTGGGCAGGTGGGGTGGGGTGGGTGGGCAGGTGCTGTGGCGAGGCGACGTTCAACAGTGGGGAGCGAGCGGCCCTGTTACTCCTCGTGCGACGCGCGCACGGTGCTGCTGCTGCTGCTGCTGTGCTCGTGTTACGCGCGTAGTTTAGAAACTGCCGCCGGAACAAACAAGAGCAGCCAAGCCAGCAGCAGCAAGCAGCACCCCCCCACCACCCCCACAATCCCTGAATGACGTCGCCCTCCTTTCAAAACATAATCGTCCGGCGTGGCTGCGAGCACACATGGCCATCACGATCTGCAACATTTATTATTGATCGCAAACCTCTTTGACGTTGGCCAGGTCACCCCTGGGGGTGGAGGAGGCGGGTCTGGTGTTTAGTTCCTCTCCCTCTGGAGTACAGATTGAAAACTAAATTTTTTTCGATTGAAAACTATTTTTTTTTATTGAAAACTTTTTCTTTAGATGGAAAACTAATTTTTTGAGATTGAAAACTAATTTCTTTAGATTGAAAACTCATTCCTTTAGATTGAAAACTCATTCATTTAGATTGAATACTCATTTCTTTAGATGGAAAACTTTATTTAGATTGAAAACTCATTTATTTAGATGGAAAACTAATTTATTTAGATTGAAAACTCATTCCTTTAGATTGAAAACTCATTTCTTTAGATTGAAAAAGAATTTCTTTAGATTGAAAACTAATTTCTTTAGATGGAAAACTAATTTCTTTAGATTGAAAACTAATTTCTTTAGATTGAAAAATAATTTCTTTAGATTGAAAACGAATTTCTTTAGATTGAAAAATAATTTCTTTAGATTGAAAACGAATTTCTTTAGATTGAAAAATAATTTCTTTAGATTGAAAACTCATTCCTTTAGATTGAAAACTCTTTCTTTAGATTGAAAACTAATTTCTTTAGATTGAAAAATAATTTCTTTAGATTGAAAACTCTTTCTTTAGATTGCAAACTAATTTCTTTAGATTGAAAACTATTTTTTTTAGATTGAAAACTAATTTCTTTATATTGAAAACTAATTTCTTTAGATTGAAAACTAATTTCTTTAGATTGAAAACTATTTTTTTTAGATTGAAAACGAATTTCTTTAGATTCAAAACGAATTTCTTTAGATTGAAAATGCATTTCTTTAGATTCAAAACTCATTTCTTTAGATTGAAAACTAATTTCTTTAGATTGAAAATGATTTTTGTGTTTAGTTTAATGCCCTTACTCCGTACCTCCAATTAGCAAGGCTACAAAGAAGATAAACATACATTTTATTTTATGCGTAGGTATAAAATAAAATATATATAAATAAAATATCTTTTATACCGACGTGACTTTACCGAAAGAAAAAAAGAGGATGGATTCCTGCAGTCACGAAAGCTTCAAATCAAGATTCATACATACAGAGTTTGCAAGTTTGAATTTGACCTCGACGCCTTGACGGATGTGTTTCTGTGTCATTTATCAAATGAACTTGCTGTCTGACAAAAAAAAATCGCGTGGATGTAAAATGAAAATGGAGCGATCTATAATTGGTAATTCGATGCCATTTGTAGAAGCAGGTGAGCGTACGGTATTGTTGCAGTCAAATCGTGAGACTAGTGCTGTTTAGCTTTCCAACTTGCTCGTCAAATCATTGAACCGGCAACTCTGAGAATCTGGGTTCAAACCCTGCCAACCACCGGCAATGATTGAAATGGTTTCCCAAGTAAAACGACTTGACAGTTTCAGCTTCGTGGCCACTATTAATTGCTCAAAAACAACATCGTGTGAATGTTGCTGTCACACTTAATTTGGATTATAATGGTTCTGAGGATGAAACCTACGGTTTGATTTCCATTCGCTTTGCAGAGCATAATCAAGTCTGCTTTGTATATATAAAACCATACCCAGACTTAATGTACTCTGATCTCACCAAATCTCAGAAGCTCAGCAGTGGTGGAGCCTGGGTAATACTGAGATGGGTGATCACCAGTGCCTGGTAGGTGTTGTTGATGAGGGGCTACAAGTTAGCCAGGAGATGGCAGTGTTGAGTTTGACCTGTTGTCAGTGTAGGTATTCTCTAGGTATTGTGGTTCCCTGTGAAATACAAAACCACTCATTTCATTGACTTGCACAAATATTCCTCGCAATACAGGACCTTCCTGACTACAGACTCTGGTGTTTCATTGAGGCTTTCCTGGGTAAATAATTTTAATTTTTCTGTGCTGATAGGAGGCCTATCAAAGGGGCTTCAGAAGAGGCATTTAAATTCATACGTTTGTCATATGAAAAAAATAGGTGTAGTATCGGAATACAATTGCAGAAATAAGCAAATAAAACACATATGGGAGGCAAGTATAAAATATAATACACATGTACACAAATGTTTCTATTTATGGCAGTTTAATTGACAAATCTGTTGGTATTGGCGCAGTACCAAAGCCTCGGTACTGCGCTGAACACCACTGCCAGCGCAACACCAAAACCTTCCGCGGATAAATAAACGTATCGTCGCGCTAACCCTGACCCTGCAGGCCACGGCGCCGCGTGGACTCTCGCGCTGCTCGCCCTGCTCTGGAGCCGGGCCGCCCGCTGCTGCCCGGCGCAGTGCGACTGCTCAGAGCGCGCCGGCTCCGTGGACTGCGCCGCCCGGGGCCTCTCCGCCGTGCCCTCCGACCTGCCGCCCGGCACCCGCTCGCTGCACCTGCAGCTCAACGGCATCGCCGAGCTGCCCGACGGCGCCTTCGGGGCGGCGGCGCCCTCCCTCGAGCTGCTCGACGTGTCCGGCAACGGCCTGGCGGCGCTGCGGGCGGACGCCCTGCTAGGGCTGTCGCGCCTCCGCGAGCTGTGGCTCGCCAACAACAGCCTGCGCGCGCTGGCGCCGGGGGCCCTGCGCCACTCGCCGGCGCTCCGGGAGCTCGACCTCTCGCTCAACGAGCTGCCGCGCCTCCCGCGCCGCCTCTTCTACGGCCTGCGCAACCTGAGCCGCCTGTCGCTGCGCCGGAACCGGCTGGCAGGCGTGGAGCGCGACTTGGTGGAGCCGCTCGTGGGACTCCGCTCGCTGCAGGTGGCCGGCAACCCCTGGAGGTGCGACTGCTACACGGCCGAGCTGCGCAGCTGGCTCGAGTGGTACACCTACCGAGGTGCGACGGGGGGGGGGGTGGGGGTCTGTCCCTCCGAAGATCGTCGCGCCTACTGCGGGTTTTTGTCGCATCGTGTTGATTGAGCCATGCGGTTTCAGCTTCGATTGTCTGGTTTTTGGTGATTCATGGGGTCTTGTTTGCATCGGTCGGTTGTGATCGATCCATGTGGTCGTGATTGATCCGTGTGGTTTTTGGCTGATCCATCCGTTTTTGTTTCGTTTTTGTGATCCTAGAAACTTAGTTCGATCAATGTGATATTTAAAAAAATCTTTATAGTTGTTTCATGGTTTTCTTTGATCTGTACGGCTTAGTGTGAAAAGTATGCACGATTCTGTTTGATTTGCGAATTTCTGCAACACTTAATTCGTTTCGATTGTCCTGCGTTTTGTCTTGACTGTCCTGCTAAATGTGCTTTATTTAATCAATTCGTTGCCATGTAAGAGATGGGGGGGGGGGGGGGGGGTCACAAAGGAAACGACATCCGTTTGTCTCTATCACAGGAGGCCTTGTGGACGAGCTTCACTGTGCCCTGCCACAGGAGTTTAAGGGCAGGAACCTGCTCTCCATCCCCTCCGAGGTGTTCTTCCTCTGCTCCCTCGTGCGCGACGGCTCGCCCTCGAGGGGGCAAGGAGGAGGGGACCGGGCGGGCAGCGTTCAGAGCGGCGCGGCGCCGTGCACCGTCGCGTCCCGCAACCCGCCGGCGAGCGTGCGCAGGGCGGTCGGCACGCTCGCCGTGGCGGGCGTCATCTGCGGCGTCATCTCGCTCATGATGGTGGTGGCCGCCACCTACGGCTGCCTCTACGCGGCCATGATGTCCAAGGTGCACCAGCCCGAGGCCGCCGCCTGCCAGCTGCTGGTCCGCGACGCGTCCGACGAGAACCGCGAGGCCAAGGAGCCGCTCAACCCCGGCACGGTGTGAGGGAGGGCCACCCACCCCCCGCCACGCCTCGGAGGGCCCCCCCCTGCCACGCCTCGGAGGACCCCCCCCTGCCACGCCTCGGCTCCCGAGGTAGCGGCGCGACCGGTGGCGGGCCATCACGACGTTGCCACCACGGGTCGGCGGTCTCAAATAAATGGGCCGCGTAGTGCGCAGCTTCCCGCTTCGACTGCTTAGGCCTGTGGGCCTCTGTGCGTGAGCCCGCGGGTCCCTTTGTGAGTCTGTGAATCTCAACGCGAGTCAATATCTCGAAATCGCTGAACGTATCGTTCAACGCCACTGCTGCCCGCTTCGATCAGTCACCGGCAGCATTTCAGATATTCACCAGGCTACTCGTGAAGCCACCTGCTTGCTGACCCACATCGACATGAAACTGCAAACATCCATGCTCTACTTCTCCCCACCACACGAGAGAAGAAGGGGACGATGCAGGGATTGTCAGGGTCTCGACGCGCGGCCACAGACCGCGTTTCTGAATCCGTGCGCCAACTCATAAGTTTGGGTGCCAACTCTGAGGTACAAGAAGCCGGGACATATGACGACAAGAATAATATCTCACAACACCTCAAGAGGGAAGAACCACGTGGTTGTGCGGTGTAGCATTGTTGTTATTATTTAGAAAGCGGCAATAACTGGGACATTCTATGTTCTGAATAGATTTGAAGATTTTCCAGGACAGCTTCCTCAAAAAAAGTTTCGATCCTGGGAAAACCAGGTACAAGTGGCAACTCTGCTCAAACACAAGCACTTTCGCAGCCGCCAGCCTGCAAAAAAATGCGCTTTTTTATTTTATTTTCCAACAAAATTGAACAGAGCTAACCCGAGCGCGTTAGTCATGCTCTCCTGCGGCACAGCAGCACTTATTCGCCGCCGGATAAACATCGCCTCCAGCGTCGACGCTTTACGACTTAGGTAGCAATTAGGTGTCCCTGCGCTTGATGGAACTTGAAGCTGCGATGACTAAAAACAATGGTGGTCTAACAACCTCTCCGCGGCTTGAGCGGCGAGTGTAGAATGTTTATTTTGGGGGGGGGGGGCGGGGGTAAGTGATGCAGAACGCGTAGCTTGTATGCACCCAGAGGTGCTTTCAAGGTGGGAGGAACTTGTATTTGGATCAACGGGTGATTTGTACAATGGTGAATTCAACAAGAGAGCACTTTTTCTTAAGGCCCCACTTGTCTTCCTCCGGGAAAAAGCCAAGATCCTTTCTGTCCTCTTCAGATTAACTACCACTGATGCGAGATGCTGTGTCTCACAGGGATGCGTGTAGGCTCACATGTTTTAAATGATAAATTGGGAAAACATTGACGTTTTGCGGGAGTTTTAACAATCTCAAAGCTCTGTGCGGTTGCCGTTTATTGAACTAGGAAAGCCTGATATCCACAGGATTATTTTTCGCCAGTTTCCTGCAATTCCACGATTGAGTGTTTGGCGTCGTGTGGTAGGAACCCGGAGGGTACCCACAGAATTCCCCGCGCATGGGAGGGGATGACACGAAAAAGCTCGGCACAGATGGATTCAGTCCGCCGCTGCCCTGCCATCTCCTGGCCACCTTGCGAGCCAAGCTGGAAACTCCCTAGGGCCGTCTCCTACCTAAGAACAAACCAGGAGCTCGAGCGTGATTAGCTAGCTCCTGAGTCCTGGCGATATTGGTCACATTCAGGGTCATATGGTCATAAGGCCATGTTTGATGTATTTGTTGTAAAACATAATGGTTCAAGTGCAATAAGACGTCAAACTGCGCAGGCACTGATGGAATGTGACATGATTCTTGATGATACACGTATATATAAAATCACAATCAATACCACGACAAAACAATTTCACATTGTCAACATGGAACGTTTTCGAATTAATTTTCAAGTCGATAGGAATTGATTTTCCTTCCAAGGTTGTAGTTTTTTTCTGACCTCCATCTCCAATCCTCTTGTTGTCTCGCTCAGTAACTGCGGGGCTATGCTCGTGCATCGATGGAGAAAGACACCCGCCCACCCTTCACGTCTCATTCTGCAAATTTCCAGCCACCAGACAAATTCAGATACGGAATTCTATTTGCGATCATAATTTAATTACCAGAGAAGTGAAACGTTGAAATTTGTATCAGTGTTGTTAAATGTCCAGACCGCTGACCAGAATTTCAAAATATTTTCCGAAAGTGTAATTCACATTGGATAGTTTGTTGTTATTTTTTTTCCAAATGATGAAGAATGAAAAGTGTCCGAGAAAATGTGAGTTGTTGGAATAATAGTTTCTGATCTTGGGAATGTTAACTTCTTCAAATAACGTCCGGTATTTATTCCAAAGTCTCGTATGTTTCTGTTGCGATGCTTCACTCCATTTGTACAGCAGACAAAGAGAGAGTTCACAGATAATCTGACAGTAAGTACATTTTCACCCTCTTCTGAGTTTTCCGGTTGTTCGGCACGATGCCCGACGTTCCGCTCCACCGCTCTGGTAGGAACTAATCACATCAGAGAGCTGCGCAGTACAGCTGCTAAGACCTATGCAGTAGTAGCAAATCATATTCCTCGTTTATTGGACGGCTATATGTATAGTTTTATGATCAAGGATCGTCTGCATTTTCTAGCTTTCCCCACTCCAAATACTTCCTGCAAAGCAAGAGTGCTGCTTTGTGTTCAAGTTGTTATGAGCACAATTATTAAGTTGCTGCCCCTTCTCAAGCCCCAGCTGTTTTCCTGGAACACGAAGTATCCAGTCAGCCTCCGCACAAATGCGCCCGTTTTCCCGTGGTTAACGCTTTTTTTGTTTTTGTACAGCCAGAGCAGTTAGTCCCCTCACCATTGCACCGCAATGCTTGCTGGCGAGTCGTGGAGGTGATAACCGACTGGACGATTGAAGCCCCACTTGACTACTTTTGCAAAGATGGAGTGATACAATCAGTAAAGTCACGTAGGTAAAATTTTTTAATTTAAATTAATAAAAGTAAAATAATAAAAAAATCACGACGTTTCGGAGGCAACACAAGCTTCCGTCTTCAGATGGAACAGTCACAGCACGATAGCTGTATCAAGTGATTTTTATTTTATTTTTTATTTTACTTTTATAAATTTTAATTTTTTACCTACGTGACTTTACCGAAAAAAACCTAAGAATATGAATCCTTGCAGTGAACGAAAGCTTCAAATCTAGAATTGATACAATCAGCTCGTGCACGGGATGGGTGGCTGCATCGCAAGATCACGAGACAAGGCAGCAGCTTGGGAAGACCCTTGTCGAGCAGTGGATAGAACGTGCCTGGTGATGATGATGGGGACTCTTTTATTTTCAACCCACTGGCAGTGAATCGAGCGTGTACTCATTTACTGAATATTGTTCACTGATTGAGGTTACGTTTGTTTCACTAATAGCTCATGAGCGCATATCCAAGAGTCGCATGCATTACTTGACAAGGCGACTTCCCAAAATTGGTGTTATTTTTCCTTCAGTGAGCATAGCTGACCTTGCGTAGATTATTACAGAAAATGGATGGATGTTTTAGTGCCTTTTCCTTTGTAAACGGCATACAGAATAAGCAAAATTGTTTAGAATAAAGTAAGCTACATATTTTATATTCAGTTTACCTAAATCGTATTGCTAAGCCATTCACAGAGTGTCTTCCATGCAACAGCAAAGTATATTTTGGATGCTACGTACTTATCCGCGATGCTTTTGCTAAGACTCTCCCCTCGTTACGGATAACCCTGAGAAGCATAACCCTCACCGTCCCCAATAAATACCGCGTTTCCTTTAATCACGGCTCGCGTCTGCTCGGGCGAGCGAGGCTGTCCGTGCGAGGAAGTTTCGCCGTCTGGATGACCGCGGCGACTGTGGTCCTCACCCAGAAAGCAACCGCGGAATGTCTAAAGACTCGGCGCCTCATTCGCGCATACCGAAAGAAGAGGCGGAGGAGGAGTAGGCGCCATCACAGTGACGCGCCACTCCGCTATCGCCCGGCCCGATCACCTTGATGTAAATGTACAGGTGTTGCTCTACACGTGAGTCAACCATACGAAGGAAAGCTAAGTCGCCTGGAACGAAAGCTCCACTAGTGGCTGTTGGCAAGTACCCACGTGACCTCGACCACGTGGCCATTGGCATGTACCCACGTGACCTCGACCACGTGGCCGTTGGCAAGTACCCACGTGACCTCGACCACGTGGCCGTTGGCAAGTACCCACGTGACCTCGACCACGTGGCCGTTGGCAAGTACCCACGTGACCTCGACCACGTGGCCGTTGGCAAGTACCCACGTGCCACTCGACCGCGTGGCCGTTGGCAAGTACCCACGTGACCTCAACCACGTGGCCATTGGCAAGTACCCACGTGACCTCAACCACGTGGCCATTGGCAAGTACCCACGTGACCTCGACCACGTGGCCGTTGGCATGTACCCACGTGACCTCGACTGCGTGGCCGTTGGCAAGTACCCACGTGACCTCGACCGCGTGGCCGTTGGCAAGTACCCACGTGCCCTCGACCGCGTGGCCGTTGGCAAGTACCCACGTGACCTCGACTGCGTGGCCGTTGGCAAGTACCCACGTGACCTCGACTGCGTGGCCGTTGGCAAGTACCCACGTGACCTCGACCACGTGGCCGTTGGCAAGTACCCACGTGACCTCGACCACGTGGCCGTTGGCAAGTACCCACGTGCCACTCGACCGCGTGGCCGTTGGCAAGTACCCACGTGACCTCAACCACGTGGCCATTGGCAAGTACCCACGTGACCTCAACCACGTGGCCATTGGCAAGTACCCACGTGACCTCGACCACGTGGCCGTTGGCATGTACCCACGTGACCTCGACTGCGTGGCCGTTGGCAAGTACCCACGTGACCTCGACCGCGTGGCCGTTGGCAAGTACCCACGTGCCCTCGACCGCGTGGCCATTGGCAAGTACCCACGTGACCTCGACCGCGTGGCCGTTGGCAAGTACCCACGTGACCTCGACTGCGTGGCCGTTGGCAAGTACCCACGTGACCTCGACTGCGTGGCCGTTGGCAAGTACCCACGTGACCTCGACCACGTGGCCGTTGGCAAGTACCCACGTGACCTCGACCACGTGGCCGTTGGCAAGTACCCACGTGCCACTCGACCGCGTGGCCGTTGGCAAGTACCCACGTGACCTCAACCACGTGGCCATTGGCAAGTACCCACGTGACCTCAACCACGTGGCCATTGGCAAGTACCCACGTGACCTCGACCACGTGGCCGTTGGCATGTACCCACGTGACCTCGACTGCGTGGCCGTTGGCAAGTACCCACGTGACCTCGACCGCGTGGCCGTTGGCAAGTACCCACGTGCCCTCGACCGCGTGGCCATTGGCAAGTACCCACGTGACCTCGACTGCGTGGCCGTTGGCAAGTACCCACGTGACCTCGACTGCGTGGCCGTTGGCAAGTACCCACGTGACCTCGACTGCGTGGCCGTTGGCAAGTACCCACGTGACCTCGACCACGTGGCCGTTGGCAAGTACCCACGTGACCTCGACTGCGTGGCCGTTGGCAAGTACCCACGTGACCTCGACCGCGTCCTCTCCCAGGAAGCACTCACCAGCAGCCACGGCTGTCCTCACGTCCTCGGTGACCGTGATGACGACGCTTGCTGTCACCACCATTTTTTTGTTGCGTTTCGCCCCTGCGGTGACAAACGCGGGGAAGGTTGGGTGGGCGGAGGGACATCAACAGCAAGGCACGGCATCCCGCGGGCCACGCACCCCAGAGCGCAACGCCTGTGCTGTTGTAGGTTCTGCTCACGTTGACTGTAGTCACGACGATAGCCCGGATCGCAACACTCACCGCAAATCCGACGCTCTCCATGTCTGTGGCTATAATCGCTTATTCATACGCTGTTCATGCCCCTAATTCTAACTCTATCCTTAAATCCTAGCGCGTTTCCTAATCTTGACATTTATCGTACCGCCGGCTCTATCCCCATCATAAACACTAACCTCAAATAATGTCAGACATTTAACCGAAAGCTGACATCAGCCACAGGCCAGGACATTCTTACATTTGTTAAAGATGAAGCAATATTCTGGTTGCATTTGTCATGGGCACCGTTACCCCAATACGTAATGTCAATTATTTGTTGCATTCGATTGGAAATGTAATATCATGGGCATCTAAAACGGGCCACCGCCTTCACAATCGTACGCACACCATTTACATTTTCACGCGGAACTTTGACACGCGCGGTGCTCAAGCCATCAAGGTCAGACTGGCTGGATGTCTGTTTGTGCGAGCGTGTAGCGCAATCAACCGTAATCAGGTCAACTGATTCTCAAAGAAATCGGTTGATTGCTGCCCCTGTTAAATCAATCGTGCGAGTGCCCAGTTGGGTTGATGGAAGGTCACCCATTCTCTTCTCTCCCCCAGCCACGTATGCCACTGTCTCCCTGCTCCAGTTCAAGTCCAGGTTCAAGGCCTTCCGTATTTCCTCTGCCCATGACCGATTGTCTATCATTTATAAAATCAACATATGCCCACTGTAGGTTCTCGCTAACAGCTCTTGCCCTGACAGCTTGTTAGATGCTACACGAGTTATCTTTGTCTGCGTGTGTGTGCGCGCTAACCTGCTTGGTAGGGCACGGTGTAGATGATTGTGCCCGGCGGTTGCTCAGCGGCGCGGCGGTACCAGATGGGGAAGTGGTCCATCGTGAAGACGCTTTCCTGGTCCTTGGTCAGGAAATCTCTGCCGGTGCACACGCTCAACGCAGCCTCGTTAGTTCACGCTCGTGACGTTGCCACACGGCACCGTGGTGACATCGGTAATTGGGGACATACCTAACCCCCATCCCCCCCTCTCAAACGTTTATACGGGGAGAAAAAGCCATGCGCTGTGTCATCTAAACCCCTTGTTGGCCTCCTTAGCTGCTTACCTGACAGTTAAAAGGGTGCTGCTATGTACCCACACGAACATTTACGATCTCGCCACCGCAACCACTACAATCACAATCACCATCACCCTGAACACCATCACAACTAGCTCAAGAAACCAGTTGTAGGCGCAGCAGAGAGGAACTAACGACCTCCTATTGGGGGCTTTTAAAGCACCCCTTGGTTACTTGAACAGAGGACACATGGCAGAGCGGAGACTAACGTGAGAGGGGGATCAGTAGACCGGGGGTGAGTCTATGGACGACCTTGGATGCCCTTGATCGCACGACAAAAGCCACTGCGGCAACTGTTCAAAGCCACGCGCACGGAGCTTCTTACTTGTCAGAGAGTTTCTCCTTGCCGATGTAGAAGCTGGTTCTGGTCAGTCCAGCCCGTGTCCCCAGGAAAGCCATTTCAATGCCCTTTTCAACGTTCCTGCGGTCAACCCAAGATCGTAAGAGCCATATGGTCACGACGGATTGGCTTTGTGATATTTCTTGTAAACCTTAGCCCCTCCGTTCCCCGTTCCCCCGCTTCCAAACACAATGCTGTCCCGATGCTACCGTCAAGTGTGTATGTTTTCCACGTTTGCAACAAATTACCCTCGAATAGGTACCGTAACACTCGACACGACTGAAAAACGATCTTGAGACTCGGCGAGGCTTTTCATGGGGTAAACAAGCATAAGTAACGGTATTCCATACTCTTTGCTTATTTCGGTAAAGTCACGTAGATGAAAAAAATATATAAAATGAAAATAACTAAATTAAATCATGACGTTTCGGAGGCACCACAAGCTTCCGTCATCAGGTGGAACAGCCACAGCAAAATTACTACTCACTACAGTAATTTTGCTGTGGCTGTTCCACCTGATGACGGAAGCTTGTGTTGCCTCCGAAACGTCGTGATTTAATTTATTTATTTTCATTTTATTTATATATTTTTATTTCTTTATTTTTCACCTACGTGACTTTACCGAAAGAACCAAACAGTATGGATCCTTGCAGTCACGAAAATTTCAAATCTAGAATTAACGGTATTCCATAGCAATGTCGTGCGACAAATAATACATTTGGATCTCTTGCAGCAAAGTGCGATCCTCCTTGTCACATACAATGTCCGAAAGAAGCAAATATCACAAAATATATTTCTGAGATTATTTGAGTGACCTTTGCGCCGCCGCACTAAGGCGCAACACTTTCTCACCTGTCCCCGCTACGGTGTAGTATCTGTCACGCGGCGGCCAGAAGCAACGTTGAATTCTCGCCGCTGGCTTTTAGCCACATTAAGTACAGGACCAAATATGCGTGAGCGAACAAACAAAAATTTGCGCAGTCATTGGTGACTGAGACCATCAACCCCACGACACTTGAGAGCTGCCCGGACCCGAATCCCGGCACTCAGCGGTGCCAGGTCAGCGCTGTGACCTCTGAGTCAATAGGCCACCTTTGTTTTGTATTTGTTTAAGTCGCAAAGCGATATTGCGCGTGCTCTCCTCGCAGCAGCCCGCCTTCAATAAAGAGTCGTCTGCTCACAGGGGCATGACAATGAAAGCATCCTCCACCGCCATCCCTCCATGATTACAATTCCTCCTAAAACGCTGCCCTGTGTGAAAAATAAGAATACGTTTTACCCTTTCTGACAATAAAACAGGTGTTACGTTATAATCTTGGTTCTTTCGGTAAAGTCACGTAGAAGGGAAATAACTAAATAATATAAATATTAAACAATAAAAATTCTCATGACGTTTCGACTGCAACACAAGCAATCACCATTAGGTGTGAAATCCACAGAAAGAAAATTAAATAAAAATGTAGGTGTTACATTGTTCAAACACCGAATAACAAACGTGCTCTGATAATGATATATGCATTATCTTTGAAACTGATTGGTCTACACCAGAGATAGCAGCCTTCTTTATAACACTACAAAGGCAATGAACCATCAGAGCATTTATAGCTCGGGGTGAGTAGCTATATCATGGGACCTTTTTGCATATATATCAAAGTGTGAAATATATGAATAAGGTTTCGCCTGTTTGCCTTTCTGGCGTTCTCTGCTCTGACACTGGCAGTGAGACTAGGCCCGAAGCAAGGCTGTCTCTGGTGAAGGACAATCAGTTTCAAAGTCAACGCCATTTATGATCAGAGCACGTGTGTTTGCATGTTCACCACAAGTACGTGTGGTTAATGCAGACTTGATTCCTGACAAAAGGTATAATCTACGTGGTGTTTGAACATCTTAATACCTTTGATTTAAAGCTTTCGTGACTGCAGGGATTCATAGTCTTGGTTCTTTCGGTAAAGTCATGTAGAAGGGAAACAATAAAATATAAAAAATATTGTTTCATATTTTTATTATTTTATTGTTTCCCGTCTACGTGACTTTACCGAAAGAACCAAAAATATCTTAATACCTGTTTATTGCCAGAAAGGGTAAAAGCTATTATTATTATTTGACGTACTTTGATGCTAGCAAAAAGGTCCCATGATAACGATGCTCTGATCTGCAAACCGGTTGGAACATGGCTACGAATAATGACAAATAATGGTTGACAACATTGAGTGGATGCAAAGAATGAGAAAAGTAAGTGGGCCTGGGCTAGGGACACGTTAGCTAGAAGGCACGTTGGCCAGTGGGCAAGTGTGTAACGCCAGGGTGACAGCTAAAGGAGGGATCGTGTCTGAGAAGACGTCCAGTTCAAGTTGGCAGCTTATTTTGTTGAGCCACGCGGTGAGAACTCGAGAGATAATGATAAGGCTCATTGGCAAGAGTGACCTGGGGCATTGATCTGCCCAGGAGGGGGCGATGAATGCTTTGTTGAATCTCGATTAAGTGATTTGTGAGCAATTTCGGAATTTGGGAAATTGGATCCTGACTTGGGCACGCAATGTCCTCCTCTTGCGAATGGCGTCAGGGGATATTTACCAGCAGGCAGCACGTATCATTGTTATTGTTGTAGTGGTTATCACGCACGCAGTGATAATTGGGGCAGCCTCTGGATTCGAACCGTGCACCTCTCTACAGCAAGAGGCGGACGCGCTGCTACTGGGCCGTGCCACCACCCCATCAACCGTGGAAGGTGGACCGATAAACTCAGCTCGAGCGATTGTGCGAGGTGGAATGTTACATCGCAGGATCGTGAGAGATGGCGACGACTTGGGGAGACCTTCATCCAGCAGTGGATCAAACATGTACGATGTATGTTGAACTTCTTTCGCACAGTACGTAGCCAACCGCGGTAATCAGAGGTGCGGGGGAAGGACAACAAGCTAAACACAAACGGCAGTTCTAAAGAAATGAGTTCTCAATCTAGATGATGTAAAAGCGTGTAGCTCCGGTGGCTTCCTAATATCGGAAGGGAAGAGCGTTCCAGACGGCCGCAGAAGCGCATCTGAAAGCGCGCGACGCGGTGACCGCCGTCTTTTTATTCGATGGTCAGCCGCTGGGGTTGGCCCTGATGACGACGACGACGTAAACTCACTCTGACTTGTTCATCACGAGGCTCGTCCAGTAGGCTTCGAGCGGGGCCGTCACGACGGCGTCAAACAGCACCTCCTGGAGGAGCTCATCGTCACCTGCGACCACAGCGCCCGGTGCAGCGCGCGTCAGGGATAGGTGACTCGTCCTGTTTAACAGCCCCCCCCCCTGCTCACCGATGCCCCCCACAACCCACACCCCCATCGCCTGCATTGTGGTGCCTCGCTGAACACGAAATGGCGAGCGTGCATTGAGCGCGTGTGCTGCTGGGAATAGACTTCCTGACAAAAAAATTAGAAAAGGAAGCATTCGTGATGAAGGTTCTTCGCTTCACACCGTTGTGCTGTACTAGTAACTCATATATTGGCACCGTTGTCTTAACGTGACCTTACTAATTGGCTGTGTAGGGTGGTGGTGGGTGAACGACACATATATTTACGCGATCTAACCCAAAAAAACATTTACGATGGAGAATATTGGTCGCGAAACCGCAAAAGAAATGAAAACAGGTTTCGGTAACGGTACTCAATGAAAGGGCTTACATTGCAGATCAGGTTCAATTCCCAGCAGATATCTCCTGACAGCCTCCAACTGCGTGAGCTTGCGATGGTCCGGGTCAATGTCCACGTTGCAGTAGATCCTGCGCGAGACGAGAAGTGGCAGTGACACGGCCGGGTGGAAACGGAGCACATTGCGTGCCAGGCGAGGGAGATAACATCTCGCCACCACGGCACCCCTTCTAACATTTAAACGGCGTCTCAAGGCGCCCTGCTGGCAAAGGGAACACCCGCTGGCAGCTGTTCCCTGCGTGACACCAGGTGAACGCTAGCGCCCAGCCACAGCCAGCCAGTAGGCACGAGTCTGCCTCTAGCGGGGCCATGTTGCTAGGTGGCATCCCAATGAAGTAATTTGGGGGCAAATTATATTGCGTTTGGATGCCGGCACACGTAGCCATAGTATCCTTTGTGTCCACTGTGAAGTGAGTGGTGCATATTTATTGTTTAATATCGCCAATAACCAGGTCGGCCGCTGGGCTCGAACATTTCTTTAGAATAGTTTTTTTGAGATTAGTTTTTTGTCCTTTCCCCGCACCTACGATTAGCACGGTTGGCTACGTACGGTGCGAAAGAAGTTCAACATGTGACTGGCTGTGGTTAGGCTGTCAAAAATAACAGCAGCAGGGTGGCTGGGTGGCTCAGCTTAATCGCTTAGTTGCAGGTTGTATGGGTCACACTCAGAAGGTTGCGTGTATCAATCCTGGTCGGTTATATATCAACCCGCAGCGCGTCATCGTGCCAAGAGTAATTGAGCCAGACGTGCTGAGATCCTGGGTTATATTTTAAGGCAGCCACGTGAACTGGATTCTCAAGTGGAGTATATATGCTGAACTTATTTCGCGCCGTACGTAGCAAACCGTGCTAGTCGGAGGGGCAGTGGAAGGACAACAAACTAAACATAAAAAACAATTCCAAAGAAATTAGTTTTCAATCTAGAGTAGGGTTCATTGTCTCAGCCCAGTCACCAATGACCGCACCAAAACAATTTAAAATCAAATGTGTTTTTTAATTCTTAATTTTGCAAGTTTCAGCATTAAAAAACAATTTCCGTTAATTGCCATTTCCAAGAGCACTCGTTGCAGGGCACGTGCGAAGATGCACCACCTCACGTGGACAAGAGACGATTAAAGAGACTTCAGAAATAGTTCTGGGACATCAACTTCCGAAGGCCCTTCACTGACAAAAGGTGATTTGCACTACTTTCTTTCTGTGACAGATCTAAGATAAGATGACTTCATCCCATGATGAGGTACGAATAGCACAATGCAAATATAATTATTAGAGCAGAAGAGCAACATGTCTCCATTATATTTCCCAACACTGCAGTGCTGTTCATAATCATGGTTTCTGGGGTTAGATCGCTTAAGCAGAAATGATGACGTCGACCTGCACTATTTAAGACCGGAAGCAGGTGGATAGCTTCACTATTCTGGCAAATCGCCCGAAGATGCTGGATGTAATTACCAACGAAACGTCGTACTACTAAATGTTGTGGATTCACTCTTCAAACACCCCGGTGGGCTGAAGAAGTAACTAATTGGCGTTTTGTCAACGTGACACATTTTTTACTGATTGGCCATGTCGGGTGGTGGAGGGTGGCGACGCATTTATACTTACGCGATCTAACCCAAAATAAAACATTATTATGAATAATAGTGGTCGCGAAAGCCTACCTGTTAAACTGACTGCGGTGCTGGTTGGCTGGAACTTCCAAGAGCACATTCTTTTACCCCCTAAATAAACAAACCATGTATCATTGGCTCTTACCAGTCACTGGCAATGTTGAGGTCAGGGTGCAATAGATCATGTAAGCCTGTGAAGGGAACGGTACAAACATGTTGTGTCACGTGTCAGACGATAGACACAAAATGAGACTTGGCAGGTAGGTTTTCGCCAGCCAATATTACGACTCGTAATTGATTCATCTTCTTGGTTCTTTCGGTAAAGTCACTTAGAAGGGAAATAATAAAATAATAAAAATTAAACATAATAATTCTCACGACGTTTCGGCCACAACGCAAGAATTATTATGTATTATTTTTATTATTTTATTATTTCCCTTCTACGTGACTTTACCGAAAGAACCAAGAAGATGAATCCCTGCAGTGACGAAAGCTTTAAATCGAAATCGTAATTGATTGCGAGTTCAGTCACAGGAGGATCCGTTCCATTACGAACCCTCCACACGGTCCAGTCAGTCATCATAACAATCCATGAAGTCATATTCGGACTCAATGAATTGTTCCTCTGACCCTCTGGATCTTGCTCTGATGGTGCCTGACGTCGTTTCAAGCGAAACGTTGAATCTCATTGGCACAATTTAATTAGTTTGGATGTGTTGGGTGGTGGAGGGTTCTTAATGGCACGGACATGGTCAGATCATTACGTGGCCAAATGAAATAATTTATAGTAAATTAAAGGAACATATATTGCAATTACATAGTCATGTTTCAGAGGCGTATTTGTATTTAACGTGCACACATGTCAGTATATTGTAATGTATGAATGAAATGTCACTTACGTGTTGTTTTTGTAAGCATCGTAAAGTTTGTAGCTTAATATACACATTCCAATGATGTATTTACTGGGGCATATAGAGTATTCATGGGTCCACGCTATTTTAACTGATACGATGTTCATCATCATTATCCATGATATATCTGTCCCGCAGTATAAATGGTCATCATCATCATGTTTATATGTTTTACATCGGGCTTGGATTGTGAGAGCTTGGGATTTACTGCCTTAATTTCCACTGAGTCAGTGCATATTTGTAGTCGACCTTGGGGTATTTTTACATCCTTTATATTAAGTTCGCTTGCTTGCTTGCTTGCGTGCTTGCTTGCGACTGTGCAAATCTTTCGGTCGTTTTTTAACCCACTTCCCGTGATCCAATCGAGCTGACATTTTGCACACAGACTCGTTGTGCGAGACAATTAATGTTCGTGAAAAAAATTCGAAAATTTTACACTGTTTAGGGAAAACAAATTAAATATTTAATTACCAATTGCTTAATACTGGCAGACAATCATCTGACCCATAGGTGGCAGCCATCTCAAGCCAGAGGACGAGAGGACTCTAGCCGCCACGCATATAAAGGATTTATAGTGAAAAACTTAGTTTTTACGGGTTATACTTATTGTAGTCGACCTTGGGGTATGCATCATGGTATTTCATATTCATTCGTCTTTTTTCCAGGAAACCGATTGATAACATAGCCTCCAATCACAGTGAGATGAATTGTCCACCAAGATCATTGGGAACGAAATAATAACAATAGTGGCCTACCAACCACGTGAGCAAAGCAGGATTAGCCAAGGTACGTTTATTTTATTTCTACCATCGCTACGATTAAAACGTTCGCATTACTCTTCTGTGGTACGTTTTGCTCAAGTGAAACTGACGACATCGCTGCTCAACAGAACCACAAATCCATTGATTTTGAAGGCTAACGGCTCGGTCGCTGCCGATGATAACGATGACGATGTGCGCGCACGTGCGCGTGCGTGTGCTCGTGCGCGTGCGTGTATCTCCGTTTCGCGGCCGCGGAAAATCGTCGAGAGCCGGTCCTCGTGTTGCGGTCATTCACCCTCCTCCTTGGACACGTTCCCCATCAGCACGTACTCTCCGTGGCCACGCGACAGGACAACTCCTAAACTGAACGAGACACGGGCGATTATTCCGCGTGGCCTTCCGACGTCGGCGGCGCGTTCACGCAGAACAGGACGACGCGACGGAGCCGCGGGGAACAGCTGGCAACCACCGACCTGAAGGGCGTGTCCTTGAGCGCCGTGAAGAAGTAGTCGTTGGTCAGCATGAGAACGCGTCTCTGAGAGCCACGAGGGTTGGAGGGGGAGAGGGAACGCACCTGACATCCGGTCACCAATTCCGGGCCGTGATTTCAAAGGCGAACGGCCACAGAATGCACCGACGTTTGCGGCTGATTCGACGGGTCTTACCCCATCGTCCACGGAGTTTTTCACTTCCATCGAGAAGGTGCCCGTCTGTCTGTTGACCATCGCAGTCCGCAGCTGGGAGGAGAGGCGGTCGCAGACGCGCCATGTGGATGAAAACAGACGGCGGAGAGACGCCCGAGTAAACGTGATTTCAGTGAACAAGATTGAAGTTTACCGCGGAGAACAGATGGGCAAGCGGCGAGGCAGTGCCGTTCCCTCGAGCGCAGTCGTGTCGTTTAAACGAAAGATAGTCGCAGAAAGTCGATCATCATGAATCACAATTCAATAGCGATGTTCACGTAAACATCTCAGGTGCCACGGCAAGGGGTCAAGAAGCATAACAACCCAGGTATACGCATTTCTTTTTTTTAAATAAACATCATCATCAGCTATGATAAGTCCACTGCTAGATTAAGGCTTTCCCAAGTCGTGATCTAACAATACACCTATTTCATCGTTTCATCTCCTCCGTGGACGTCATCTTAGACCAATTCCGTTCCTCGGCTGCCACGCCATCCGAAATACTACGGTAACGTTCAGTCAGCCTACAATAATAACAATATTCATAAATACTTAGCCAAAATATAACTTGATATCAGGTATAACCTTACCACATGACTGATTTGATCACGGACATGTGCGACTACGTGCAAGTTAACATTTTCATCAAACAGCAATGAGAGAGGTAATTAAGGAAATCACAACTCGGGATGTGACTATGAATTGCTGTTCGGTCAAACCGTTCCACAAGAGGGCACTATACATTAGCCCAGCTCTTTGAGTTCAAACATCGTGTGCACGTACTAAACTGTATATATTTTTTAATTTGACCAAGTAAGGCCTACTGAGCTATATAGCTCTTTGTCAGAAGCGACCTGGCCACAAATGATAGCTCAACGAAGTGGCTTATCGTGTGGACATTTATAGCAGCCAAATACTCTAAACGCATGTTTCTAAATGTGGAGGGAGAAACCAGAAGACCCAAAGAAAAATCCACGTGACCACGGGGAGAACATGCAAATTGAAAATATACAGGCTTCAGGGTTGGGCTCGAACCCCCCCCAATTGTCAATCCACTGCTGGATGAGGGCCTCCCCACTCGGAGGTGGCTGTGTGGCTCAGTAGGGCAATGCTGTTAGAGCACTCTGAGTTCACACTGCTGCTGAGAATCTGAGTAGAGATCTGGGCAAACTGTATGTGATGAAACTGGGTTGCAAGCTGATGATTGCATAAAAATACATTGAAATATGGTTTTGTAATTAATTTGGTTAAATTCCAGCTCAGTGAATCAAAATGTTTGGTTTCATTGGCATTTGACGGCCACTCGAGTGTGCATACGATGCAATACAAGGAGACCTCAGAATTAGTTCCATGACAACAATATTTCGGAGTCATTCTCTGCCACCAGGTGGTGCAATGGTAACTGCAAGTGTTCCACATGCGCGTGTGTTGATACGATCACGTGATACCGATAACAACATCGGAAAAATGAAGACATTTGAAAAAGGCCGCTGCCCTTCGTGTGGATTTTGCAGTGACAGCTCGTGGCTCCGGGTCTAAGAGGACGTCTAGTCCCCCGCGGGGGTTCCAGTCTCAGGTGATATCGCGTGCAGGTAGCCAATCGGTAATTGGGACAGAGGGACCACGTGGTGATCATTTAAAGCACCGGTGCTGGGCTCCCACAAGAGCAGTTCTCCTTGGAAACTGCACGGGCCGCGTACACCTGTTTGGCCAGGAAAGCAGGGATGATGAATTCTAGATTTGAAGCTTTCGTGACTGCAAGGATTCATATTCTTAGGTTTTTTTCGGTAAAGTCACGTAGGTAAAAATTTTTAATTAATAAAAGTAAAATAAAAATAAAATAAAAATCACGACGTTTTCGGAGGCAACAGCTATCGTGCTGTGGCGGTTCCACCTGAAGACGGAAGCTTGTGTTGCCTCCGAAACGTCGTGATTTTTATTACATTTTTATTTTACTTTTATTAATTTAAAATTTTTACCTACGTGACTTTACCGAAAAAACCTAAGAATAGGGATGATGAAGCCACTGACAGCGCATTCACGTTTCTCAGTGGGTCGCTGTGTGAGTCTACATAGCTCTAGGTTAAGCCTATGGATCTCAATGGAAGTCGCTCGCTTTCTACATCACTCTGTGCATCTCTTATATCTCTGTATGAGTCTGTGGGACTCGTCGCAAGAAACCACTGCCGGCACATTCTAGTTTCTCAATTAGGTCCACCTGCACGCGTTATGAATCTGAGACTGGAAAAGTCGAGGCGGACTTGGTTTCAGCTTCAACTTGAACGTGCAGCACGTGTTGGCACTGCCCAATTGGGAGGGAGGCGCTCCCCCCAAACATTTGCGGCGACGAACGCGACGGGCGCAGCACCTCACCACTTCGTCCACGTCCTCCCACTCCACCTCGGAGAGATCCACGCTGTTGTAGTTCGGCTTTGGCTTCATCTTCTTGCCCTCTTTGTACTGTGGAGAGGGAACGTCACCCCCGCGGAGGAGTTACCCGAGCCACCGGAGGGTGCGGCCACGTGGCCACCGCTCCCCCACGTCTCATTCGCTCTATGCCGTGGCCACGCGGCCAATTTAGGAAGAAGCCATGAGGGGCAGGAGTTTGCAACGTGCGTCGCATTCCCAACAAAGAGCCCTACCCACCGCGAGCGGCGCCAACCGCCGTTCGTGCGCTTTTTGTCAGCGCTGTCACAATTTGATCTGAATCCAGGTAAGTCGCAGCCTGTCCTCGGTCGGAATCGCCAGGGCAATAGGTTGAATGCAGATTGCCGCTGTTCGTGATTACACTGGGTTCTCAAGTGCAGCGAGTTGATGGTTTCAGCATCACTGATTGCGTGCACAATTTTTTTTAATCAGATATTGTTACCCTTTAATAATTCATTATAGCTCTGAAAATAAAAACATAATTTTGGCTGACATGTGATGAACACTATTTGCAGGGCAAATACAAAGTATGTTCCGAATCTTCTTGGTTCTTTCAGTAAAGTCACGTAGAAGGGAAATAATAAAATAATAAAAATAAAACATAATAAAATAATTCTCACGACGTTTCGGCCACAACGCAAGCAGCCGTCCTCAGGTGAAGACCAGGTCTGTCGGGGAGACAACCATTCAGACGCTGTCTCCTCGACAGACCTGGTCTGCTTGCGTTGTGGCCGAAACGTCGTGAGAATTATTTTATTATGTTTATTATTTTATTATTTCCCTTCTACGTGACTTTACTGAAAGAACCAAGAAGATGAATCCCTGCAGTCACGAAAGCTTTAAATCGAAATTTATGTTCCGAATGTGGATAAGATGTAACAGACGGGACATCAGACGAACAGTAGTTAAATGGGCAGCTTTTTCCTGTGTGCAAGTGGGCGGTGTAACGGTAAGATCGATTGGCCCACCTATTCGCACTGAACATATTCAAGTGCGGGAAATGCAGTTAAAGACATCTGCTTGTAAATTCTAGGTGCCATACAGACATTAACCCACAATTCAGATTAATTAGGTGGAAGACGCAACACTAAATAGGTCATCTCAATTTACAGGCATCCGTTGACTCAAACTTCTGCAGGAGAATGCATAGGTGGTCGTTGTCTGCAGTGGCGGCTCCTGCAAAATCTCTCAGGGGGGGGCAAATGTCTGGATGATAGATAAGGATAAGGTCCAGCCATGCAATGGATAAATTAACAGCTTAAGCATGTAAAGGCAACTTCACTTCTTTAATATTAATGAAAAATAAAGTGACTCTTACAATACATCTTGTTTGTTTCTATACTCACTATTAAAACAAACCACTCAAGTTTCTTTTAAAGATTCCACTAGGTGGCCACAAATTATATTGTTGGATGAAACGTGCTTACGTATGATGACGTAAGCACGTATGATGACGTAAGCACGTTAGGGCGAGCCCTCCCGGAAGCCATAGAGAATGCATTGCAGCGCCCCCGTTCGAAAAAAAAACATCTTTGAATGTAAGTCTATGGGGCCACTCGGGGCGATTCTCAGCCGGAGTGAAATCGCCCAAAAAGAGGCGGTACTCCACAGAACGTGACATGACGCTGATTGGACTATATCCAGAGGCTGCAGTGACGGCTAGCGTGACTCTGTGGTTGAATGACATTGGTGGTGCGTCGCCCAATCGCCCTAATGAAGAAACCGCCCCTGGTTGTCTGGCTCTAACAGGGCCAAGCTCCTTCGAAGTTATTCAGTAAAACCTCTTGATGCCAGACTCGGTGAGAGAGCACAAAAGGTGACCGCTAGTCGCGCACGTGGTCAACTGCCGCACTTGGTGACCCCGTGCCCAAGGACGTGTGTCAGTGCCCGCGAGCGGAAAACCGTGTGTTCTCTAATTTTTGAGATTTATTTTAAAACATATCGTTGTAAAAAAAATACAAATCGTTTATAAACAATTAAAATAATTCAGCCGCCAAAATATAGTTATGTCTACAGCCGAAACAGTATTTTCACCTTCAACCTATGGGCCTGCTAAAGGCATGAGTCACAAATTCACTTTAAGATGTTTTTTGTTCATGTTTGTGTTTTTTGTTTGTTGCGGTTGCACCCGATTCGAGAGCCGAATGGCTCACAGGGCTATACCTAATAAATTAACTTGAACTTGAACCAACATCCAAAGTTGCGAGAGGGCCAGACAACTAGAAACAGGTAGCGCTGCCTGGGGGTGAAGAGGCGTCACCGAGGTTGATGCTTCGTGCCACCGCAGCAGGGAAATGAGCAACGTCAACACGAGCTCGAGACGGAGGTAAAAAATAAGAAAAAATTAAAAAAAATAACTAATTAAAATAACTCAATTAAATCACGACGTTTCGGAGGCAACACAAGTAAATGTGGCTGTGATGGTCCCACCTGAAGACGGAGACTTGTGTTGCCTCCGAAACGTCGTGATTTAATTTAGTTATTTTCATTTAATATTTTATTTTTTACCTACGTGACTTTACCGAAAAACCCTAAGAGTATGAATCATTGCAGTCACGAAAGCTTCAAATCTAGAACGACCTCGAGAGTCTTAACAGAGAGTGGAAACTGGGGGGGGGGGGGGGGTCGACAAGAATGACGTCTGGGTGGATTAGAAGGACTCTCAATGAAAGACCGGTGGAACAATCTTGGCAGACAAATAATCGAATGGACCATACACACATAGTAACCGCCTGCGCTGGAGAAGTGAGCGTCTTCCCCCGAGGCTTTCCCATCACTCTCTGTTGCTTGAAAGCAGCGTGGCAGTACACTTACAATTGAAGCTTCGGACCCGTTGGGAGACGTCAGCCCTGTGTGCTCGCTGATGCCCTCATGTCGCTTTGCACACGAGGGCATCGGTTGGAGGCGCGGGTCGGGAGTGCGAAGAGGCTCTCCGTCTCGTTGTTTTGTGCGAGTGCAGGACAACTCACCATTGGGCGCAGGTCCGGGTGGGTGACGATGTAGCCGTTGTTAGTGATGATGAACGCATAGCCGTGGACGCCAAGCTGCAGCACACGATACAATCGTCACAACCAAGCATCTCAAATAAGCTCAATCTCTCCGACAGTGTAAGACTTTTTGAAAGTTAAATGAAAATGGAACACCCCCCCAAAAAAAACAAGAGACATTTTCTTGTAGATAAAATACACATGTCCCAGGCTGTCTAAAACAGATGTGAAGATATTTTTTTAAATAAAAACACATTAAAGTTCTGGCCAAGCACACCACGAATGTACTTGAGTGATGTCACTGCAGTGACGTATTGAAATGCACGGCAGTGATGTCACAACGATGTCGTGACGGTGATGGCTCTACAATGACAGCGTGTGACACACCGCATGCATCTACAAATTGGGAGCTCTTTTTAAATCCTTTATATTAAGTTCGCTTGCGTGCTTGCTTGCTTGCTTACGACCGTGCAAATCTTTCGGTCGTTTTTTAACCCACTTCCCGTGATCCAATCGAGCTGACATTTTCCACACAGACTCGTTGTGCCAGACAATTAATGTTCGTGAAAAAAAATTCCCAAAATTTGACACTTTTTAGGCAAAACAAATTTATTTTACATATATTCAAATAGAACTGATTCATGGCTTTGGCTGAACATCACAGTATAAGAGCCCAGAGCGTAACCCCTCCACAAGCCGTGGCGGAGTAGCGCAGTTGGTAGCGCCCTCGCTTCCCATGCCAAAGGTCGCGGGATCGATCCCCGCGTCGTCCACAGGCGAATATATTCTTAAATCCTTTATATTAAGTTCGCTGCCACGCATATAAAGGATTTATAGTGAAAAACTTTGTTTTTATGGGTTTACTTATATTAAGTTCGCTTGCTTGCTTGCGTGCTTGCGTGCTTGCTTGCTTACGACCGTGCAAACCTTTCGGTCGTTTTTTAACCCACTTACCGTGATCCAATCAAGCTGACATTTTGCACATAGACTCGTTGTGCGAGACAATTAATGTTCGTGAAAATTTTTTTCCAAAATTTTACACTGTTTAGGGAAAACAAATTAAATATTTAATTACCAATTGTTTAATACTGCAGACAATCATCTGACCCATAGGTGGCAGCCATCTCAAGCCAGAGGACGAGAGGACTCTAGCCGCCACGCATATAAAGGATTTAGAGTGAAAAACTTTGTTTTTATGGGTTATACTTATTTGTCAATTTTGTACTCCTGAGCTACTCCCTGGATGAGTTGTGCAAACAGAAAAAAGATTAATTCTAGATTTGAAGCTTTCGTGACTGCAAGGATTCATATTTTAGGTTGTTTCTGTAAAGTCACGTAGGTAAAAAATTAAAATTAATAAAAGTAAAATAAAAATAAAATAAAAATCACAATTTTAATTTTAATTTTTTACATACGTGACTTTACCGAAAACAACCTAAGAATAGTAAAAATATTAGTTTAATTATCCAAGTCCTTAGAGTTTACATTTTCACCCAAAAATGGCCATGACTAATGTTCCATGAGTAAAGAGACGCTGCTGATAATGCACAAACAGCTGCACGGATGGTAAGGTGTGGAGAGGCCTTCATCCAGCAGTGGAATGGTAAAGGGCTTCAATTCAAATAAATGGGAAGTGTTGTGACCCATGACCCCACCGGGACAAGCGCACAATCGCGAGGTTGACCCAATATGCGCCCATCATCATCATCATCAGGCCTTGAACGTACCTCCCTTTTATTCCCCCGTGCCTCTGATTGGCGCTGCTGGCTATGTACGGTGCGAGAGAAGTTCTACAAACACACACACACACACTGGACATGCCTTGTAGCGAGGAGCCATCTTGAGCAGCTCCTTGAGTGGCACGTCTGTGCCCACCACGCCCAGGAGGATGCCATGGGACCTCTGAACGCGCAAACCGGCAAAAGAATTCGTGAATGCAAACGCGTTTCGTCCCTGCCAGCTAATAGGGAATAATGCCCATCAGCCGATGCTCTCCGATACATTTCACTAAATTCAAAAGTCAATTGCCAAAGGGCATCAGGGCCTTACTAAGTAATGCAGCACCGCTGTTATTCCTGGTGCGGGTTTCCAGGTTGGGGGCGTGTTGAACATTTGCTATCGCAAGCCTTTGCCGCGCACTGCTGCCGGCATCTTCAGGAATATGCCTGGTGCATGCAAAAACCCACGTACGTGGCTAAACGCCTCTTGTTCGTGACCAGCATTGAGCCAGTGGTGGCAACCCGTTTTTATTAAAATCTGGGTCATGAATCGTCCGAGCCTGGTTAATTGTGTTGCCTGCCAACTCCTGTTGGAACAACTCATTAACGTTATTTTAAAATGTACGTTTTGATAAAAGTCTTTCATACTTTATATATTTTGCGGGAATGCTGCCATAAAGTGCAGTGGCTCTGCAGTCGAGCTCTATGAATTGAGGGCAGCACTGGGTGTATCTGATGCCGAATTCAGCCCATGTTTACGTATGCTGCACAGCACGAATGAGATGCAAGCATCTCTTCATTTCTTAAAAGTCCCGTTTCCACCGGTCTAAACAGAACTTGGAGTGGCATTCATGTGCAACACACAGAAAACACAACGATGCATTTCAATGCAGTATTAGGTGAACCCCACTCCCCCTTAAAAAGAGAAATACATAAAACATTTCGAAGGCCAAACAGGGAATATACGTCTCAATATGGCCGTGTTCCATCAGGTAATTTAATAAAGCACTTGTGGCAATGAGTAATGTCTACCACAGGGCCTCGAAGCGCCCGGCCCCAACTGATTTACATTTTGGTTTTAAACTGCTCTGTGAACAGGAATTGGATCCCATTTTTTGTTGTTGATCCGAGTCGGTAAGCTGATTTCGGTTTACCCCGTTGGTCAAATGTCTGTTGCAGGCTTCACTTCATTTGATTTACAATTCAATTTTGATGAGAAAAAAAACCCAACCCATTCCTAGACGTTCCACCCCCCCACCCCCCATTACTGTTTTTACAGTGGTCAATTCTGAACTGCTTGGCATTTGTAACCCTGTGACCTCTGGCTCGCAGAATAGTTAAACACCACATGTTGTGGTCAGATTGGAGGAATATTATTTGTGTGTGTGTATCTGTATCTGTTTGTACGTGTGTGGGGAGCGGTGGTGTAGCGGTTAGCGCGCTGCGCTACAAACCCGGCGACCCAAGTTCAATTCCCGCTCACGGCCAACGCTGGTGACGATTATTTGAACTGGTCCTGCGCCTCCCCTAGGCGGACTCAGCCTCAAATGAGTACCTGGTGCGGTGTGTAAACATCGCCATTGTGGAGACAAAGGCGGCCGGGCGTGGTGCTGGTCACCCACCCCCTCGTGTACCGTGCCGGCCTTCATAAGTGCTCGCTAACAGCACTTGCCCCAACAGTCTGTTCAGGCTATAGGGGGGATTTTGTCTTTGTGTGTGTGTGTACCTGCTTATGTGCATATGCATGCTTGTGTGTTGCGGGGAGAAATATTATTGGGACTAGTAGACTGCACTCCGATCCCAGCAACCTGGGTTCGGAGATTATCTAAACTGGTCCTAGGCCTCCCCTAGGTGAATTTATCATTAAATGAATACCATGTGCAGTGTTATAAGCAACAGCACGAGGGAGACAAAGGTGGTCAGACGTGGTGCTAGTCACACCACCCCCACGTGCGCTGGTCTTGATGGGTCCTTGTGTAGAGGAGTAAAATGGGGACGTGACGTCAGGTGTGCCGTTCAGTGCGATGACGTCACGTCTCCTAGGGTACTTAAGGGATACCCCGTGACGTAAGCGGGGTCACTGTGTGAACGGGTAGAGTAAGCAGGGTGAAGAGGGAACCAGGGGTAGAGAGAGGGATCGAATAGGGAGTCTGGGGAGAAGCCAGTGGTAGCCGTAGAGGTGCTTCTCTCTCCGCTCGGTGGAGTCGGCAGAGTCCCCGATCCGACACGAGAGAGAGAGAGACCGGAGCTAGCCGGCAGGGACCCGGACTCAGAGTAGGACCCCTAGCCCCTGGGAGTTGTGTACCCTGCTGTGTATTATTGTAACAGCTTTAATAAACCCTGGCGAAAGCCCTTAACATACCTCCGTCTCCGAGTACTTTTTCTTGGTTCTTTCGGTAAAGTCACGTAGAAGGGAAATAATAAAATAATAAAAATAAAACTTAATAAAAAAATTCTCACGACGTTTCGGCCACAACGCAAGCAGCCGTCCTCAGGTGAAGAACAGGTCTGTCGGACGCTGTCTTCCCGACAGACCTGTTCTTCACCTGAGGACGGCTGCTTGCGTTGTGGCCGAAACGTCGTGAGAATTATTTTATTATGTTTTATTAATATTATTGTATTATTTCCCTTCTACGTGACTTTACCGAAAGAACCAAGAAGATGAATCCCTGCAGTCACGAAAGCTTTAAATCGAAATTCTCTACACTTGTAACAGCACTTGCCTCGGCAGACTGTCTCGGCTACACACGGGATCTTTGTGTGTGTTTGTGAGTCTTTGTGTGTGTTTGCGTACGTGTCGTTTCCCACCGTTTCATTTTTCTTGCTGAAGACAGGCATGGCCACGGTGGTCATGAGCAGTAGCCCCTGGGATGAGGTTGAGTAGAGCTGGCGGGTAACAGAGCAATCGGCGTCAGTCATCGTCACGTCTGCGCGAGACAACTCACATCTCCCGCGAGACTACGGCTGAAAGTTTAAACAACACAACAACAATAACAACATATTGACGTTACGTTACATTGTCCTTCGTGAAAACGTGACATTTATCTGACAGGCGAGTTTGCAAATTATTTATTTAAACGTATTTGCAATGGCGTGTCCGGCGAGGCGTGCAAATTACTCTTTCGCAGGTTCCAGTAGCTTCTTCTGTCGCCAATGAGAAAGAGGTGGACTAATCGTCGCGAGGTGGACTAATCGTCGCGAGGTAGACTAATCGTCGCACGGTGGAACGACGGTGGAGCGGACTGGCATTGACATCTTCAAAGCGCCACGAAGTGCGACTCACTGAGCGTCAGGCTCAAGGGGTCGCACACCAAATGCCACGGCGAGTCTCTCTCTCTCTCTCTCGTTCGTTTATCGATCAGTTGACAATCAAAGTGCGCCTTTGCATTTCAAGGGCTGTAAAGCGTCAACAGGCAAGTGTTTTCCCTCTCTGTTTACCTTAATATTAACTTTATTCACGTTATTATTATTAATAACGAGGTGGATAATTAATTCGCAAAATTCACAGCTGGAATCAGCTATGTTTGAGCTGGTCCAACTATAGCGGGAGATAATTCATTGCCGATTTAGCAAAGACAACGCGACACAACTGCATTAACTGCAGATGACATTAAGCAATAGGTGCAGTCCACGGGTAGAGTTGGTCCTCTCTGAATCGCGTCTGTCTGCATAGTGAATCCATCTGTGCGGAGCTTTGAGTGCAATCCCCTCGGATGCATAGATTTTCTTCAGCCAATTATTCCCACGCGCCAAATGCTCATGAATGTAAATGGCCAAACATCCCAATGCAGGACCCTCGTAAAAAAATGTCTTGAGACTGAGTGAGGCTTTCTTTGGTAAATAACCAGCATATCTTATTATTACTGGTTTCCCTGCAGTAAAATTAATTTGCTGTGCTCTTACCTTTTGGGCTTGGGGCAGCTGTTGATTTGAATAGCCAGCATGCACAAAGTATAGCCAACCATTCAGAGAGAAAGAAAAGTGTATTTCAGCAACTCAGAATCAAAACGCAATCCCCAAATCAGTGGTAATCTCACACGTTGCGAGGGCCGCAAAATTATTCAATAAGCAAGCAAACAAAACTCACATTCATCAATAAAAGTGGCCTTAAAATGGAGAATATATAATCGCAATGGCCCTTCTTCATGTGTATATCTGGCTTGTTTTAGTTTATTATCCTTCCCCCGCACCTCCCAAGAGCACGGTTGGCTACGTACGGTGCAAAATAAGTTCAACACACATACATTTGAAACTTTAGTTGTTGCTGTGCATCTACATTAGCCTTGCCGAAGAAGAAGAAGCTCTTCTTCATAGCACAGAAAGGACATACCGTCCTTATGCAGCATCACAAAATAAATTATTAAGCAAACCACGTTGTTGCAAATGTAGTGTCAACGAGTCAGAGACAGAGTTTCTAGGTGGCACTTTCTTTATTGGAGGGGAGTGAGATGAGAGAGAGGGGGGGGGGGTAAGGAGAGTATTTGGAGGGTAGTGGAGTGAGGAGAGAGGTAGGAGGGTGCGGGGCGGGGAGTAGAGTGAGATGACAATTGAACTTATTTCACACCGTACGCAGCCAACCGCGCTAATCGGGCGCGCGAGGCGTGTCACCCATGCCGTGTTGCCGCGTTTCTCGGCCCCTCTGTGCACGTCGAAGGGTTGGCGGGGTGGGTGACGAGGGTGGTCGGGTGGGGGTCACGGCGGCCAGCCCCTCGGCCGTGACACTCACCGTGCTGTCCATGTACGCCTCGGTCCAGATGATGTCGTGGTCGTGGTTGATGACCATGGGACGGCTGAGCACGTGTAGGTACTCCATCACATTCTCCTGCACGTCGGCCAGCGTTGAGATCTGTGTGTAGTAGCCTGCGTACACACACACACACAGCACAGAGCACTGCAGATCACTCTGCTGCCTACTTCCCCCCCCCCTCTCATCTCACTCCCCTCCACGCACTCTCCTACCTCTCCCCTCTCATCTCGCTCGACTCTCCTCCACGCACTCTCCTACCTCTCCCCCCACCACGTACCCCCTACCTGTGTGCCGGCCACCTGGGCGCCCCTCCCCTCTGCGAGCTGGGCGGCGCATGGCCTCCAGCCAATCAAAATGCGCGCTGGGCGGTGCACGGGAAGTCATCCAGCCAGCCAGCAAAACTTGATTTTTTTATTTTAAACAAGTACGATAGTTTTTCGATTTAAAGCTTTCGTTACTGCAGGGATTCATCTTCTTGGTTCTTTCGGTAAAGTCACGTAGAAGGGAAGAAATAAAATAATAAAAATAAAACATAATAAAATAATTCTCATGACGTTTCGGCCACAACGCAAGCAGCCGTCCTCAGGTGAAGAATGAAACACCACCAAGCTTGGAGCGTATATTTAAGCTGGGTTGGAGGGGGGGGGGAGGTGGGAAGAAGAGCGCCTTGACAAAATAATTTGCATATCAAGAGGAATGTGTAGGAGGTAGGCGGGGGGGGGGTTCAAATTATTTTGTCAAGGCGCTCTTCTTCCCACCTCCCCCCCTCCAACCCAGCTTAAATATACGCTCCAAGCTTGGTGGTGTTTCATTCTTCACCTGAGGACGGCTGCTTGCGTTGTGGCCGAAACGTCGTGAGAATTATTTTATTATGTTTTATTTTTATTATTTTATTACTTCCCTTCTACGTGACTTTACCGAAAGAACCGAGAATAAGTACGATAGTGTAATTTAAACGTTTAATATCAACATTGCTGTAAAAAACATGAACGGCTTCAGATTAGAAAATACAATAATGCTGTGGTGTGGAAAGTAGGCTGTTCAGTTCAATTACTCTTGATTCTTTCGGTAAAGTCACGTAGAAATAAATAAAATTAAATTATTATTTAATCTGCCTGCATTTTATTTAATTTATTTCTACATGACTTTACCGAAAGAACCAAGAGTAATTCCTGCAGTCACGAAAGCTTCGAATCTAGTTTGTTCAGTTAAATGTTTCCAAAAAACTTCTGCACTACAACTGCAGGAGCAGCCACGTGATGTTGTGAGCGATGCACACAAGAAAAACTAAACCAGAGACGGTGGTAGCAACTGGATTTGTGTTCGCTGTGATTTATGCGTCTGCTTTTGGGCAGAAATTCATTAACGGCAAAGAGCCCAGGATCTTAGACAAATAGCCCGGCGAGAAAATTGGTGACTCTTCCACTTAAGAGCAGCACATATTGTTGCAAAAAAATCCATCTTGTTTCACAGTGTGGTGTTCTGCTTATCTTGCAGTCTGTGTTGCACGAGGGAAAACTAAGTTACAGGTATCGGGAATTAGTTTCCATTATCACTGCACTTTCTTTACTCTCTGTCCTGCATTTTTTAAAATTGTCCTTGTGTCGTGCCATTTACATCAATAATTATTTACGTGAGATGAAACGCCTGAGCAGCCAGCCATGCCAACGGAATGAATAAATACATTTTTAAAAAATCCTTTATATTAAGTTCACTTGCTTGCTTGCGTGCTTGCGTGCTTGCTTGCTTACGACCGTGCAAATCTTTCGGTCGTTGTTTAACCCACTTCCCGTGATCCAATCGAGCTGACATTTTGCACACAGACTCGTTGTGCGTGACAATTAATTTTCGTGAAAAATGTTTTCCCAAATTTTACACTTTTTAGGGATTTAAAAAAAGATATTTAATTACCAATTGCTTAATGGTGGCAGACAATCATCTGACCCATAGGTGGCAGCCATCTCAAGCCAGAGGACGAGAGGACTCTAGCCGCCACGCATATAAAGGATTTATAGTGAAAAACCTTGTTTTTACGGGTTAATTTTTTTTTATTGTCCTTGTGTCGTGCCATTTACATCAATACTGATTTACGTGAGATGAAACGCCTGAGCACCCAGCCATGCCAACGGAATGAATGAATACTTTTGTGACCCACAGTGTTCCCTTGTTCAACCACGTCGCTAATGTCAGCCGCGTCTCGTTCGTTCTTCCCAGTGGCACAGTGTTGCCTTCGGCGGGACGCAAGGATTATGCAAAAATGGACTCGGTGGAATCATTGGGGAACAAAATACAGCTGTGACATTTTGCGCAGGGACGGATCGTTCTCAGCCATGGGGACTAATTTACGTGGACGTGAAGGCAGAGTGAGTCCTTGTCCTTTATGAGCCAAGAGTCAGCCCTGCTCGCTGCTTGCACATGCATACTGTGTCACGCAGGCAGTGGCAGATCTTCGCAAGCGTAGCAGCAAATGGTAAAGGTGCAGCCCTGCAATTTCTTGGATCACGCCACTGCGGGTAGAAGGGCATCCACGAGCGGCTGCTTTTAAAGAGCCCCATCCAGATGTCTTGGAAGAGGTGGGCGCACCCACACACCTTTACCCCACAACGCACGACCTGCCGATCAACTTCATTGTGGTGGTGCCCATTTTCACTGCTGGGTGGACAGAGTCGGAGGAATTGAAGAAACCTGGACCATCGTTTTAATTGCCGTGCCGGGAGATCGCACCACACCTCTGGATTGTAATTCCAGTGCGCTCACGATGATACTCGGGCGGCATTTATGCGCTGAATTGCATACCGAGTCTCTTGAAGCCCACATAGAAGCAGACCTGATGTAGGCAGTAATGAGAAGGAAACTGGCACTTTTTGGGACAAAAATTTGTAAAAGGTGGACAACAACGGGAGAATTAAAAGTGTGTTTTGTTTGGGAAAAATGGAAGGAAACGGAAAGAGAGGAAGCCCTAACAGAGAATGGCTTGACAACAACATCAGAGATTGGTGTCAGAAAGATGTGGCACTACTTGAGAATATTGGCACACGACAGAAGAAAGTGTAAACAACTTGACGAAATGTGCAGTGGACACCTCTGGGATATTATCCCATGGATCGCGATGATGATGGCCTACCTGCGATACATTATTGAGTAGTGTCTTTCAAAACAGTAATTCTGGTGAAGTGAGCATTACATGTCACTCATTTGCCTTTTGTATATGTGAGCCAGGGGTGGAAATTCCATATTTCTATGGTGGAGGACGAGTTAGATCGTAAGGCAACCACTGTGGACATCCCTGTAAAATAGTACTTATGTTATCGACCCTGGATGGACGAAGTTACTGAGCCGACCGCCACTCTGTACTGCTGTAGCACGCGGCCGGTAGACGTGTATTATACTGAGCCGACCGCCACTCTGTACTGCTGTAGCACGCGGCCGGTAGACGTGTATTATACTGAGCCGACCGCCACTCTGTACTGCTGTAGCACGCGGCCGGTAGACGTGTATTATACTGAGCCGACCGCCACTCTGTACTGCTGTAGCACGCGGCCTGTAGACGTGTATTATACTGAGCCGACCGCCACTCTGTACTGCTGTAGCACGCGGCCGGTAGACGTGTATTATACTGAGCCGACCGCCACTCTGTACTGCTGTAGCACGCGGCCGGTAGACGTGTATTATACTGAGCCGACCGCCACTCTGTACTGCTGTAGCACGCGGCCGGTAGACGTGTATTATACTGCGCTGTATGTGTATCGATTACGACTTACCTTTGTTTGCACAGGCCATCCACTTGATCGGTTTGGCAAATGCCTGCTCTCGCCCAATGAGGTAGGTGAATATGCGGACCTGTGAAAGGCAGTGCTCGCAGAATGTCACCACAGGACATTGACAGAAATAGAATATCCACGATGCATGCACGCATGTACACTTACATATTAGTGTCTTCATTAGCATTACAATACAAAAAAACGCCTTTCACGCTTAATTAGAGAGAACAACTTCGCGGTTCTTCTCTCTATAATGAGCTGCATTTTAATTGGAGCTCTCTAATTTATACTGTTGGCCTCACTATGAAAGGCAGAATTAATGGTATGGAATGGACCCCAATTCAAGGTATTTAAAGAGGGCTGCTGCTTCGTTTAAATTCGGAGAAAATAGGACGTTCCCTCTGACCTCTGCGGAATCTTGACGTAAGTTGCGTTTTTTTAAAGCCAGATAATTGACTCCAACGGCTTTCGTATCTCACCTCGATATTTCGACAAAACATGCTCATGTCCCCATTCACCATTGGCTAACGTATTAAATACAGGCTGCGTTATTAATGAACGATAAAGTGGTCGCAACCTAATAACACTTTTTTTTTACTGCAGCTTCACATTATCAATTTTTCTGAGGCCCTCACGAATCTTGACTTATAAATGATATTCTTGGTTATTTCGGTAAAGTCACGTAGAAGGGAAATAATAAAATAATATAAATATAAAACAATAAAAATTCTCACGACGTTTCCCCTGGCTCACACATACAAGACAGAGGTTATTTGCAAGCCATCTGGCTACCATGAGAGGTTCGTTCATGAGGCTATTCATATATACAAACACAGACAATTTCAACAGAGAAGATGGATTCTGGCTTAGCAATCATTGGAAGGATTTTATCAACCATTTCGGGTCTTAATTGATTGTGTTCACGCTTACGGTGACTTTCAGACCGCATTCCATTCTCTTCCTCTCCCCTCTCCTCTTTACCGAACATAGATGACTCATCCATCTGGCCAACTGCTAAATCGCTGTTCGTGGTGCTGACGTTAAGAAAAACCGCCACTTTTTCAAATTTTCTTTCTGTGTATTTCACACTTGATGATGATTGCTTGTGTTGCAGTCGAAACGTCGTGAGAATTTTTTTTAATATTTATATTATTTTATTATTTCCCTTCTACGTGACTTTACCGAAAGAACCAAGAATATGAATCCCTGCAGTCACGAAAGCTTTAAATCAAAATTTTACGAATGATAATTAAATACAATTTAATAAAAGCGATCAAAATTGTGAAGAAGATGAAGAAGAAAAACGCGATGGTAAGGCCGGGGGGCCCATCGGACCATTCCCAACGGGCAAATTAAATTCCAGCAGCGCTGGTTAAATAAAGCACAGATGGACACGGGAGCTGAGGGGATGAGGTAAACGAAGGACCCCCTCTGTCTACCCCTAGCACTCGCTCCGCTTCTCACAGCAGCCGTCACTCGGCGTGAAAAATAAATCGTCACGTGGCTCCGTGTTTGTGCCTCCTTCCTCCGGTCTCGTCTTCCTCTATCCGTCCTTTCGATCCCTCCTTCGTAAAGTAGGCCTCTGCCCTCGATTTTAAGTTTTCGTGACTGCAAGGATCCATACTTTTAGTTTTTTTCGGTAAAGTCACGTAAGTAAAAATTGTAATAAATTAAGATGAAAACAACTCAATGAAATTACGACGTTTCGGAAGCAACACAAGCCTCCGTCTTCAGGTGGAACCGCCACAGCAAAATTGCTGTAGTGAAAAAAAAGGAGGCTTGTTTTGCTACCGAAATGTCGTGATTTAATTGAGTTGTTTTCATTTAAATTTATTTTATTTCATTTTTTACCTACGTGACTTTACCGAAAAAAACTGAAAGTATAGTCCTCTGCCCCTTCCATTCAAATTGGTTCAGCTAACGTGCAAATTGTTACAATGTCACCCGACCATATTGTACCGCTCTCTTTAAGATGATTTGCTATTCCCCTGCCTCCCACGCAAACCTTCATGTCCACCGGACGTGGTCCCCATCTGGGTGGGGTCAGCTAGCCCCACAATTTTTTCTTGACCCCATCAATGTGTCCTGCTCGTGCCAAAATCGGGCTGCTTTCCCACCCGCTACGTTCTGTGATCGGCCTTTTGTACCGGGCTCGCGTTGAGTTGTAATAAAAACAACAACAACAACAACAACCATAATAATCATACGACATATATTATTTGTCATTCTTTCGCTTGCGCCTTCGTGCCATCGTTATTATCGTTGTTGTTAAGACACATTTAAAGGCGCAGCCCTACAATTGCTTGCTCACACCCACTGCTGACAAGAAGGGTTTTCACAAAGATGAGCTCGGCGGAGGGTACTTTGCCTAATCTTCCACACGAGCCAAACGTGGGAGTACGGACACTACCCCACTGCACGCGACCTGCCGATGGACTAAATTTGGTGAACTCGTTCAACTGTCACTACGGAAGAATGAACGGGCGACCTCAATATATTGCAAGTCCACTGTGCTAACCATTGCATTGCGGCGGCATCTCTGCTAACGAAACACACGCGGTTGCGTCCCTTAACGGAACACATTTAAATAAAGTGTGCGTGTGTTAGTTCTTTCGGTAAAGTCACGTTGAAGGGAAATAATATAAAACAATATTTAATAATAAAAATAGAAAAAATATGAAATTTATTTTATTTTATTATTTCCCTTCTACTTGACTTTAGCGAAAGAACCAAGAATATCAATCCCTGCAGTCACGAAAGCTTTAAATACAAATGTGTGTGTGTTGTATATAATATGAGGAGCGGTAGTGTAGCGGTTAGCACGCAGTGCTACGAACCTGGTGACCAGAGTACGATTCCTGCTCATGCCCATCACCAGTGATTATCTGAATCGGTACTGGGCCTCCTCTACGTCGACTTATAACATATCATATAAGTTTAACAAGGCCCAAAACGTGGATATATATATTTTTTTACCTCAGAATAAACGGACGCACTACATCAGCTATAATTATTGTTAATTGTGTGTCGGGTGGCTCATTAAGCTACGCCACATGCTTGGCCCAGCCAGGAGCATCTCTGTTGGTAGTAGCCCATTACCGCTAATGGAATGTGAAGCCCTCTAAATTCGTTTTGAAGCTGCCTGGAAAAAGCCACTTTAGTAACCGAATCCTACGAATGGTGCATCAAAGTGCTAAAGTTAATTTACTTACAGTATAAGCTTTAGATTCAGTCGTGTGTCCTCTCAATGTTGCCTTTGGAGAGTAGAAATATAATAATTCGGCGCCTAAACCAACGCTGGCAATTTGCAAAGGTGTACGTTACAATGTTTTAAAACCATAATGTCCAAGCATTCCAAACAGCGTCCTCCTGATGAACAGTTGCATCGATGCTCAGGTTTTTCCTGAAATTTAGTCAGGGAAGGTGAGTATGATGCTGGAATTTTATATTTCCATAGTTTGCGATGAAAGAAAGTAGGGCTTCGCTTCAACCCCATCGTGAAGCTAAACGATAAAGGTGCAGACCTGTAATTTCTTGGTCATACCCTTGCTGGAGGAAGGGACTAGAAGGACATCGGGAGAACCCTTCTCGAGGGTGTTTGGCCTACTCTTCCACGCTGGCCACATAGTTGTTGCACGCGCAGGAAATCCATGCTTCGCAGCTCTCAATCGCAACCCAACAGTGTAGAATTTGTTCGTATTATTCGAGCGGGTCGTCTATAAATGGATCACCCTGCGTTGCACAAAAAAAAGAAAAGAGCTTCTTCTTGGTTCATCTTCTTGGTTCTTTCGGTAAAGTCACGTAGAAGGGAAGTAATAAGAAAGAACCAAGAAGATGAATCCCTGCAGTCACGAAAGCTTTAAATCGAAATCTTCTTGGTTCTTTCAGTAAAGTCACGTAGAATGGAAATAATAAAATAATAAAAAATAAAACATAATAAAATAATTCTCACGACGTTTCGGCCACAACGCAAGCAGCCGTCCTCAGGTGAAGAACAGGTCTGTCGGGTCCTTCAGACGCTGTCTCCCCGACAGACTTGGTCTTCACCTGAGGATGGCTGCTTGCGTTGTGGCCAAAACGTCGTGAGAATTATTTTATTATGTTTTATTTTTTTTATTTTATTATTTCCCTTCTACGTGACTTTACCGAAAGAACCAAGAAGATGAATCCCTGCAGTCACGAAAGCTTTGAATAGAAAAAGAAAAGAGCAATTCCTAAAAGCGTGAAAGCAGCGAGTGTTGTCAGTTGACCGTGAGGATCCACTGCGAATTGTACCTTCTTGTCGGGCGAGTTGTACTTCTCAAACACCTCTGCAAAGGTCTCGACGGCTCCGTCGGTGACGACCATCAGCGCCTGGTTGCATATGCTACCCTGCCCCGTGCCGTTGAACTGCAGAAGAGTCAAGCGAAGCGTGGTCACAGCACCGAAGGTAGAGCTCGGCGTGGTGTGCAAGGTGCTGGGCACGAAGATTTTTATTCTTGGTTCTTTCGGTAAAGTCACGTAGAAGGGAAGTGATAAAATAATAAAAATAAAACATAATAAAATAATATATTATATTATTTAATTATGTTTTATTTTAATAATAAAAATACTTCCCTTCTACGTGACTTTACCGAAAGAACCAAGAAGATGAATCCCTGCAGTCACGAAAGCTTTAAATCGAAATTTAACCACGAAGATTATGTTGTTGTTGTTACCATTCAATTAGATGGAGAATATGGCCTGGTGGATCGTGGTGGTGGGGGGGGGGTTAATATCATTGAGATTCTAGGTTCAAACCTGGGTAGCCAGCTGTGATTCTACTGCGTTGATGGTCTGTGCAAAGAGTGGTTGTATTGCATGTGCAGGAGGTCGGGGGTTCGATGCCGACCCTGATGCCTGTATGTTTTGAGTGTGCGAGTTCTCCCCGTGGTCGTCGTGTAGATTTATTTATCTGGGTCCTCCGGTTTTCCCCTCCATATTCAGAGACACGCATTTAGAGTCGTTGGCTGCTCTACAATTTCCACTTAATTGAGCTATCGTTTGTGGCCAGGTCGCTTCTGAAATAGAAGCTAATACTGTAGCTCATTGGGCTTTACCTTGTAAGATAAAAAAAAATGTGTTTAGTTTGATTTGTATGCATTTTTAAGTGATTTGTTTATCTTTCCTTAAATTTCTGACTCCTATCGTGTTTTTTATTGTCTGTTTTTATCACGTTCTGACCTGCCCCTACTAGACAGCTGTGTAGAAGAGCTTCATAGCTCATCGGATTCCTCAATGATAAATACCCATTCTGATTCTGATAATAATTAGACATTTCAGTTCGAGGGGGCACAGACGGTGTGCCCCGCGTGTTGGCAACCACATCTGTCAAGGTGATTTCAGAAATAGTTCAGGTGACACCATCTTCTGGGACCATTCTACGACACAAGGTGGTGCACTGATATCTGTAGAAGTTAGAAATAGAGATTTCTGCATGTCGTGACATACTCGAATTATTATTCTTTTTTTTACCAGATAAAGCCCAGTGAGTTATTAGCTCTTTTTCAGACGCGACTTGGTCAATATGATAGCTAATAGAAGTGGCTTATCATCATATGTCGGAATTTATAGTCATAGCCAAACAATATAAACGCATAGTTCTAAATGTGAAAGGAAAATCCAAAGGAGCCAGACAAAATCCAGGCGACCATGTGGAGAGAGAGAGAGAGAGCACGCAAACTCCAAATATACAACAGGCATCGTCAGGGTTGGGATCGAACTCACAAACTCCTGCATAGCAGACGAGGGAGATGATATTTGCAATATACTTTAGAGAAAGGAATGAAAGAGATGCAAATCATTGCAAATCACGAGGTCATGGATTTCATGCAGCTCGGTGGAAGAGGATGCAGTGATTTAAAACTGTACACATTTTCACGCTGCCTTTTAGAATTTGTACATTTGTCGAGATGAATGTAACAGGGCTCTGCATGAAAAAGACACCACAGGTGTGGCCTGAAGCTGAGCTTACCTGGTCCAAAATCACGAAACCTTCCTCCAGGGCATTTGACAAATCTGCCACCCCCTGTGCATGCATATCCTCCAAAAGCTGCTTAAAGTGCTGCAACATGAATCCAACACACGTACAACATACATTAAAAAAGTGTTACGATATAAACACACTTAAACCTAGGCACAAGCACACTTCTTTAGATATTTTTCATTTATGTTGATTTCCCCTGAGAGAAAGCCCCATTTCTTGCAGCGATCGTTGGATGTGTTTAAAGTTTTTACAAAATGTAAATGTTTTATGTTCTGTGAAATTCACCAGAATTACGATGTTGAGTGGGACATACAAGACTGGCAATCGATATTGAACATTTGAGCAATGAGCCAGAGCCACGATTCCTGGAAGCCACATGCGAAATAAAGTCAGACCGATCAGATGAGTAAGTGCAAACACATCAGGCAAACAAGATCACATGCTAACTGCTCTGTGCTTTGAACTAGTTTCGGCAATGCTTTTTGCCATTATCTCACCACAGTAGCCATGTACACAGGCGCTCATCCTGATGCAATCCTAGTACTTTTGGTTCTCCAGTTGGAAGACAGACCGGCAGGCACCCCCGTGCCAATGTCCAGCTGAGACTTCTCCAAATGCCCCCCCCTCCCGCCGCACTAGTGGCCTCGTGTGGTGACAAGCGGCAAGTCTCATGTACACTTTGGCAGTCCTCAATGAGCCGTTGTAAGATAACGGGTAATTGACCACTCTCCACTTCAGGTTATTCCTCCTCAAAAAAAGGTTAATTGTATTTTGCAAAAGGGCCAATTGGTGCCATTTCTACGTGAATCGCTCATCCTCGGTTCACATTTGGTCATTGATGTATAAAGTGTAAGTAATAGCATATTTTATAAAAATAATATATCTAGTGCTAAGATTATAAAAAAAAATACAGTAACCACATTCGACTCAAATGCCGAGTATGTCGAAAAACTTTTTTGCTGTGAACGCCATTTTGTTTTAATTCTCAAAGAGTGTGCTTTGTTCTAACCGCTTTACAAAGCACCGTTTAGGAATGAACATTTACAGTCCAATTTGTAATTCTACTGCTGGATGAGGGCCTCCTCCTGTGCCTTGTGACCAGTGCAGGATATCCGATCAATTCCCTCTCCTGCCCACAACGCCCATCAAACCCGCCTCTCGTGGACGTTTCTCACCCACATCCCAAACGCAGTCCCGGATCGAATCCTGCTTAGCTTCTGAGGTCTGACTGAGATCGCGAGCATGGAGGGTTGATTTGGTTATAGGCCATTTTAAAATTATGCTATGGGGGGTATCATTTTAGAGAGGGGGGGGGGGGTTCTTTTCTCACAAACGAACTAAAAGCAGTGGAAAAGATGGTGGTTGTCTGGTGATTTTAGTTCAATTAAATGCGCTCTTTGGGGCGGGCACAGCGGATCATTAGCATTGAAAATCGCCATTATTCAGAACCCGGAGTCCCACAGTCAAATCGAAAGGGTCCCTATAGGGGAGCAATCCAGTGTGACAATCTGGAAGCGGATTTCTTTGTAGCATTCATGAATGCCCCTTATAAAGTATCATTACCCCCGCACTCCCTGCCATCCGCACCTCCGATTCACACGGTTGGCTACGTTCGGTGTCAGAGAAGTTCAACAGACGTGTTGGAAAAAGAGTACCCGCACTTTACCCCGCCATACGCAACCTGCAGATCGACTTAATTGCAGTGCACTCATTCACACTGGTGGGTGGACAGAGGCGGGATGAATTTAATAAACCTACATACGTACACATACCCACTTCCCCAGCACCCTCGGTAAAACCGTTTCTGTGAAGCCATTCTAATCCTAGATTTCAAGCTTTCGTGACTGCAAGGATTCATACTCTTAGTTCTTTCGGTAAAGTCACGTAGGTAAAAAATGAAATTAAAATTAATAAAAATAAAACAATAAAATCACGACGTTTCGGAGGCAACACAAGTCTCCGTCATCAGGTGGGACCGTCACAGCCAGATTTGCTGCATCTAATCACCGTTTCACTCAGCCTGAAACGGCTTGCTCGTGACACTGCCGGCTGAAGGACCTCCAATGTTGAGAGCTCTTGAGAGCGCCCACTCTGGAGTGTATTTTGCCCTCCTCTTCCTACGCTGGCCAGACGTTTTGGAAGAGGTGGGAATGCCACACACGTTACCCCACCACGCGCGGCACTTTCCATCATTCATACCGCTGCATCGACAGAGACGTGGGGTGGATTTAGGAAACTAGCCTCATTGTTTCCCCTACCCATGCCAGGAGACGGAATCAAACTGGCAGGTTCTGGCTTGCTGGTCCAGCGCGCTTCTCATTATTCCACGACAGCTTCCGTTAAAATTAAACAATAGCGACCAGTTTGTTGTTAATGGTGCCACGCGTGTTTAACGATGGTTGTTTACTCTTCCATCAGCCATCGATCTTTTTTTTCGATTTAAAGCTTTCGTGACTGCAGGGATTCATATTCCTGGTTCTTTTGGTAAGGTCACGTAGAAGAGAAATAATAAAATAATAAAAATAAACATAATAAAATTCTCACGACTTTTCAGCCACAACGGCTGCTTTGTGGCCAAAACGTCGTGAGAATTGTATTATGTTCGAAAGAACCAAGAATATGCATCGATCTTTTATCAGGTGGCTTTGAAGAAGATTAGAAAAACAGTAAATTATCTCTGCCCCTCCTACCCCCACGTGATTAACGCAACTGCATTGTAAAAATGCGCAAACACAGTTGCCTAAACAAGTATGAATATAAATTGATCGCCGCATGCATCTCTAAATATCTGATTAGTTTGTTGGATTTTAGTGAGGGTGAGAAAAAAAAAACACTAACAAATTAACATTTTTATGGCGACGAATTTACATTTATTGACGTTCGCGCTTAGAAATCACGACTTTTTTTTAAGCCTTCAAATATATTGGCGAATTATTTTTGAATGACTATTACATATTCTACATGAAGCTCTGAGTTATAACATAATTGAAAACATCACGTACTTGACGATTTATTTATAGCTGACAAACTTCACAGGCCCAAGTAATACCTTCTGACGGTGATGTTAAATGCATGAGTTGTAGCGGTGGATGCTGGTGAGGTGTAATGGTCAGCACACTAGACTTGAAATCCAGAGGTCACTGGTTCAGTATCTAAAAGGGGCACAATACTTTTTTAAAATGGGAATGTTTCGTTACCCCCCCTCCCTCATCCCACCTCTATTTCAATTATTTGGCTGTTATAAATGTCCACGTGATAAACCACTTCGTTGCGAAGCTATCACTTGTGGCCAGGCCGCTTCTGAAGAAGAAGCTTATAGCTCAGTGGGCTTTACCTCGTCAAATTAAAATAGTTTATCTTCATTGTTCATTTTTTTGTAATTTGATTACTTTTTCTGCACTTCGCACTCCTATCGTGTTTTTGTATTGTGTGTTGTTGTTACTCTCTGACCCGCTGGTACTAGTCATCTGTGAAAAATAGTTTGATAGCTCATCAGATTCCTCCAGCATAAATAAGTATTCTGATCCGTATACAAAGCAGTCTGAATAAGAACACCACACTTAGTAGATCAGGTGGGTTGCGTGCGATGGGGTAAAGAGTGTGGATACTCTCACCTCTTCCAAATGTCTGATCGGCGTGGAAGAGTAGGCCAAAAATACCCACTTAGAGGGGCCTAAAGAATGGAACATACATTGAGGAGATGGAGCATTGAAATCAGCTGGTGTGTGGGTGCCAGGTGGTCGCTACAATCGTAGAGAGATGGCAACAGCTCGCGGTCGCCTTCACCCAGCAGTGAATTTATCATGGCTGATGATGACATTGATGACGATCTTATGATGTGGTTGCATTGAGCCGTCACATCCATTGTTGTTGTTGTATGAGGCACAAGTGCAAATCATCTTCTTGGTTCTTTCGGTAAAGCCGCGTGACTTTACCGAAAGAACCAAGAAGATGAATCCCTGCAGTCACGAAAGCTTTAAATCGAAAAGTATAAATCAGCCAAGGTACAGGAAAGATTGTTGTTTCACGAGCCGTTGTGCAGGCTTACCTCTCTGTTGTCACGGTTTGCCTGTACCATCCCTCCTTCGAAGCACGGCTCAATGTAATGCAGCTGCTCATTGTACTGGCACACAGAGAAGGGACACGCCATCATCATAATCAAACCATCATCTTAAGTCTTAAAGTCTTAAAGTCACTTTATTGTCAAGTGTGTTACATGCATGACATACAACACAGATGAAATTACAGTCCTCTCTCTTGGTCCCACGGTGCAACCAAGCAATTAAAAAATTAATCACAATTAACAGACATAAATAAACAATAAACAATCGGCGATCAACACAAGATAAATAATCAAAAATGTAATAAACTTAAAATAAACAACAGTCAAGAATTTTTTAAATGTAAAATATTATTTAAATTATTTAAATCATCATCACCATCATCATCATCGCCGCAGGAGTCAAAGCCACTCTGCCTCTTGCCAGGTCATCTAGATCAGCCATTGTTAACTTATTTCTTTACTGCAGTTTTTTGTGTTTAGTTTGTTGTCCTTTGCCCACACTTCCGATTAGCAAGGTTCACTACCTACGGTGCAAAAGAAGTTCAACATACATACATTATACTCCTGCACGTGACTGGATCTCATCGCCCCATCTCACGGACGCACAATACCTATGCACTCCTCTACGGAATGGCTACCAATCTGTTCGCAGTCTCGTCCGTTAGCAATCATCCATTCAACAAGTATTTCCCGCCCAATCCGACATTTCTCAGCATTCAACTTTCCGCCTCTGAGTTATGTTTGCTTCCTGATCCACGACCCCCTGTGTTTGCCATTCAATGCAAGTCAGAACATGCATCTGGTGCATGTTTTTTTGCACACTTTTCAGCTTTTGCTCCATTTGTTGTTTCAGTGTCCGCATTTCTGCTCAATGTGTGACTAATGGCAGTATAGGGTCAATCAAACAAAATGTTCCTCTTCAGCCAGACAACGAGTTATTGCTATCATCATTTATTGCACTTGTACGGTGAGATGTGACTTTGAGCCACATTCATTTTTAGGGGTTGGCTGGCCACGTGGTGGTTGTTTGATGTCTACATTTTTTAAATCCTTTATATTAAGTTCACTTGCTTGCTTGCTTGCGCGCTTACGACAATTTATTTTCGTGAAAATTTTTCCCAAAATTTTACACTTTTTTGGAAAAAATTAATTATATTTAATTACCAATTGCTTAATGGTGGCAGGCAATCATCTGACCCATAGGTGGCAGCCACCTCAAGCCAGAGGACGAGAGGACTCTAGCCGCCACGCATATAAAGGATTTGTAGTGAAAAACTTTGTTTTTACGGGTTAATTTTTTTAGGGGTTGTCTGGCCACGTGGTGGTTGTTTGATGTCTACATTTCTTGTCGTTAACCCTCCACCCACCCGACAAGGTTGCCACGCTCACAAAGTCATTGTTCGTACGTGACCAAGTGTCTCGATCGAGTTCTGGCCGACAGAGCCCCTCAGCAGCTGCTCAAGGGGGGGGTTATTTTTTTTGTTCACGGCGGAATTCGACGCGTCGCTTCGGGCTTCACCGGGGTGGTGGGGCTTGGCAAATGGAGCACGAGATGCCACATTGTGGCACTGCGACCCGCGAGAGAGATACGCAACCGCCGTCCGTGCATTCCGAACACTGCGAACACGTCAGAACGCCGTGGCTCTGCAGTGGCGCTCTTACGTTCACAATGGAAGTTGATTGATGGTGCGATGTTTCTCACGAATTACATATTTCTATAGAAATTATAATTTTACAAAAACAAATGATGAATTGGTTATAACTCATGTATTCACTTGATTTACACTGGAAGTGCTACTTAAATGCAAAAAAAGCCATTATTTATCTCATGGGATGATGATCAGTTGAAATGTGAGGCTTATTAGCAGCACATTACAACGTCCATTATTTATGATTTGGAGCAAAATATGGCACAAGTAATGGGGCGTGTAGTTCTGTGGATTAACAGACACACATCGAGCCAAACTGTTTAGCCAGGAGGTTCTAAACGCCATTTAAAATGCAATTGATGCCAGGTGTTGCGCCATCATCAGCGTTCTTTAAAATAAATGTACATCAACTAGATTCGTCATGCCTCATAGAATGATTGAAAAAGAACAGCGACGCGCTTCAAGGGAAGGCCGCTCCCTGGGCTGGTGCCACAGTCTTTTGATCACACGTGACGATGTTTTATTCAAGGATTTTTGGATAATGCTTTCAAACCGCCAAGAATTCTGGATCGATGCGCTCTCCGATGTGTTTTCGGGTTGTGCCGCGCGTTTGGAACTACGCAGTTCATCGTGAAGCTTCCAGGCACGTGGAGATCAACGTTGGACATCACGCTGAACAATACGTGGTTACAATTGGGATACACATCGTTGAAAAGCTACACGGCACAACGCGACAATCCTACACAGTATTATCAACGAGTTTTTTTTTACATTTGCTTACGACATTACAACTTGGGGTGCTGCAGTGGCGAGATGTTAATTACCTCGCCTGGTATGCAAGAGATTGTGAGTTCGATCCCGACCCTGACGCCTGCTGTATACTTGGAGTTTGCACGTTTCCCCCCGTGGTTACGTGGATATTTTCTCCGGGTTCTCCGGTTTTTCCCTCCACATTTATAAACGTGCGTTTAGAGCATTTAGCTGATATTAATTTTCCACGTGATAAACTTTTTCATTGGGCTATCATCTGTGGCCAGGTCGCTTCTGAACACAGAGCTATATAGCTCAGTGGGCCTTACTTGGTAAAATAAAAATAAAAAATAATTCGTTTTTAGTTCAACTTACACACTGTACAATGGCGAATGGTGCAGATGGAAGCCTAATACAGTGTGGATTTGTAATAGTAATACACGAGTATTTTGTTTGTTTTACTTATAAGCCCTTAATCCCACGGACGGTTTTAGTTTTGACAAGGTACGCACCCATTTTTTCCCATAAATTATTCCGGCAACATAAAGCAACGTGAATAAGGACACGTGCCTTGGGACTGGGAGGAAATTGAAGTGGGGCTGATAAAGTAAAGGACGTCGCTTGATTTGTTGCATGAAATTGCACAAGAAAGCACTTCCTCTGCCAACAGGGGTTGGCAGAGGAAATATTTTATTTTATTTTATAGAAATTAATCCATTGGTCATAGGTTAAAAGCAGTACTGGCACATTCCCAGATGTGTTGCTGCTTAAAAGATATTATACATACAAAGAGAGTCCTTTAATTAAAACGTCGATATAATTTATGACTAAAGTGCTCGCCATTAAGTTACAGGTAGAACTAACACAAAACAGTTTATTTTATGAACTCGAAAGGCAATATGCCCCGAACGTTAGACCATTTATCTGTGAATACGGAAATTCGATGTTCAACGCAAGTTCATGCGCACAACATCGATTGCCCGCCAAGGCTTAAACAGTGCTGCTTGCCTGTACCTCGTGTGCCCAACGATCATGTATGTATGTTGAACTTCTTCTTGGTTCTTTCGGTAAAGTCACGTAGAAGGGAAATAATAAAATACTAGAACAGGTCTGTCGGACGCTGTCTTTCCGACAGACCTATTCTTCACCTGAGGACGGCTGCTTGCGTTGTGGCCGAAACGTCGTGAGAATTATTTTACTAGTTTAAATTTTTATTATTCTATTATTTCCCTTCTACGTGACTTTACCGAAAAAACCAAGAAGATGAATCCATGCAGTCGCGAAAGCTTTAAATCGAAAAATATGTTGAACTTATTTTGCACTGTCCGTGCGAATCGCAACGAGCCGGGCATCCTTGCGAGCGAATTCGGAGTGAAGCAGGCAGCGCTGGTGAAGCAGGCTTTATGCAAGAGCACTCACTCTGCTGGGTTCAGTGACTTCCCCTAGCGGCCTAGCCTAAGCCCCAATGAAAGCTCTGGGTTCGGCCCTGCTGTAGGAAACACACGAGGGACGTTCTTGCCTAGCAGCAGCAGCAACAGCTGCAGCACTGAAACAAAGCAATCATCCCAATTCCTTAGTGACAATAGGCGACCGTCCTTCAGCGAACCATGCATTGAATGAAACGCCCGAGCAAGGCCCACGAGAGAAAATTAGGTGCTAATGCTCCGCGTTTGTTTAGTTTTTTTTTTGCACGATAGAAACACCGCGATGAGAATTCTAGCGGCAGACGGATGTGGCCTGGAAACCGTGGATTTGCTGAGCAAGTGGGGAGCTTTTTAACCTTTAAATAATGGAAGACAACCTTTTTACATTTTAAAATTCGTAAAGAGGGGTCGATTTCTGGAGCGTGTAATTGTGTATATGTGTGCGCATGCATGAATATATGTCAGTGCGCACTTATAGGGTAATGGTATAGTGTTAGGTTTGTGTTACAGACGGTTATTATTTTGGCAGAACAGCTTGTCTCAACGTTACATAGAACAGTGCTTCACATTGGAATTATAATTTTGACTTCATTTTTCTGGCTATATCACTGTGCTTTGAACTGGTGACCTGTGGTTAATACGGTCAACCCTATAACTGACATGGAGTAGAGAAGCGCATTGACAGAGCTACGTAAATTGCTCAGACAGTATTTTATTTCGAAACGGTATCAACGAATTGAGGCTCAATTATTTTCGTGCGGCCGCTTTTTCCGATGAAAACGCAGCAACGGCCGAGACGGTCGATGACACCGATGGAACGTGCACAACGTCGTGGGGGACACTCACAGCGATTCATATTCTTAGGTTTTTTTCGGTAAAGTCACGTAAGGTAAAAAATTAAAATTAATAAAAGTAAAATAAAAATAAAATAAAAGGTCACGACGTTTCGGAGGCTGATACAGCAATCGTGCTGTGACGGTTCCAGTTGATACAGCTATCGTGCTGTGACGGTTCCACCTGAAGACGGAAGCTTGTGTTGCCTCCGAAACGTCGTGATTTTTATTTTATTTTTTATTAATTATAATTTTTTACCTACGTGACTTTACCGAAAAAACCTAAGAATTTGAATCCTTGCAGTCACGAAAGCTTCAAATCTAGAACTCACAGCGATGACGTTCACAAAGTCGTTGTCCCCGAGTGTGTCCAGGATGGTGCTGATGGTCTGCTTGGCGATGGTGAGGCGCAGACCCTTCATGCTGCCACTCACGTCCACCAGAATGACGATGTCCTTGGGCGACGTCGCCGCCTGAATGTACCTTGCGTGCGGCGAGATCACGAGAGTGGTACAGACCAGAACGACGAGCAGTCTTGGCTTACCGGTGGAGTGTCTAATCAACTAAATGCCTGACTCACTAGCTCACTAATCAACTGAGTTAGTAATATACTGACTGACAGACTAATTGACCGACCCCCTGATTGACTGACCAATTCACTTATTGATAGACTGATTGATCATCCGATTGACCAATTAATTTCCTGGCCCACTGACTTAATGACCAATTATCTTATTTGATAATTGGCATAGGAACTGATTGATCAACTAATTTACTGAGAAACATATTGACTTAGCGACTGAATGATGGATGTAGCAAATGACCCACGGACTGACAATAAACATTTTATCAGCTGACTCATGCCTTTAGTGCATGCCTTTGGGGCAAAGCTGAGTACGGACCATGTAACTCACTTTGGGGGCAAGGGTCGTTGGATCACGTAGATTATGTGAACCTCCAAAACACACTCGGCTGAGTACTGGCCACAAGATAGCAGTACAGAAAGTAGGTTAGAAACCCATCTCTTATGGACCTCTTCTTAGTAATTGTCCCTTTTATATGCATGGTGGGGTTTCTCTGAGTATGTGAGCTTCCCCCTCCACGATCATTCGTGAAATCGGTCAAACATCCAAATTGCAGAAAGTGTTTTGAAACTCAGTGAGCATTTCCCTGGGTAAATAAATGACCTTATTTTTATTACTTTTACAAGTATGTACAGATACTCACCAGCCCCTGTTCCTGCAATCAAATGAAATCACTCCATTTTCATCTGGCGTCCATTTGATACCTGGAGACATGGGCATCTTAGAATCGGCATCTGGTGTAGGTGAATCATATATCACGGGGGTATTTCATTAAGTAAAGAGACAAATGCTGTAAGTTATGCGAGTGCAATTTTAGTCAAATAAGATGTGTTACTGATTGGGAAATCATACCATCACTTTTGTACATCGGTTTAATTCAGATGTTTCCACTAGATGGCAGATGTATCACGTGATTTATGATGGTAGTGCCCTTACACAACTGTACATCAGAAGAGCACTGTGCTGTTATTTGATGAAAATCATCAAGCATGACTGAAGCCGATGGCCTCGCGTAGCTGTCTACAATTAAATACCCTGAACCAAGATGCAGGCTAAGGTAGTTTAGTAGAATTATTAGAGACTGCAGTGCAGTGGGGAAGACTACATGTCATCATTAGATATATATGTATGTATCTAAACATTATTACTGACTGCACTGATTTGGCTGATGTGACAATTGAGGATCCCTTGCATAAAACGTGACTTTACCGAAAGAACCAAGAAGATGAATCCCTGCAGTCACGAAAGCTTTAAATCGAAACGTAAGGATGGACTAAAATTCCACACGGTAAAGGTGAAAAGGTAAAGGTGTAGCCCTGCAAAATCCGTTCATTGCTATTACTGGCGTAAGAGCCTCCACCAGAGGGAGCTCCAGACAGGGCCCTCTCGAGTATATTTGGCCTACTCTTCCACACTGGCCAGACGTCTTAGAAGAGGCGAGAATACCCGCACTTCACAGCACCATACGGCTGGGCGGTCAGAGAGTGCCAGGAGGATTTAAGAAACGTGCCCCTCTTGTTTCAACTGCCGCACCGGTGAACCACGTGACCAGCGTGCGAACCGTTGCACCGTGGCTCAGTCCACAGCCAGGGGGTACAATGGCGTAAAAAGTTCAGCCAGTTGGCAGATGTCTGAAGACGCACGGATGTTGCCCCGTTGCAGCGCCAACGCTCCGCTTACCCGGGTACTGGCGGAAGAATCCTGTGGAGCTGCCGTAGTATTGCCAGGTGAGGGTGGCATCGCGCTCGAAGTTGTCCTCAAACACGGGGTTCAGGGCCTCGGACCAGAATGCACCATTCACGATGTTTGGCTCTGAACACAAGAGGAGAGAGTTGGGGGGCTGCTCACTGCTGGCTTACTGTTTCACTTGTGGTCGCGACTGATGCTTCGCGCACACAGAGGGAATCAGGGCGATTCTTCCACGATTGACGCTGGCTGTGAAGTGAGAGGCAATATAATGAAGGGGTGTGCAGAGAGGCATCAAGCGGAGAAGAAGACACAGATACCCTAATGTAATAATTCGCTCCCCAATTCGATGAATTCTGGGTTGTGACTTGAATTAAGAGTCAATGTTTGTTTTACATATGTTGTCTTTTGTTAGAGCAGCTTTGTTAGCCATACGTGATGAACCGAGCATTATATGCTTAGGTGGCATACATACGTCAGGATAGATAAATACGGTATATGGAAATCATGAATGCAGAAGTATTACATGTAGATTCAAGCAGACAGGAGAATGGACGAGTGTAACTCATGAATAGAGGATGACCAGTGGGTATTGCTTTGATTGCCCAGAAATGACGTACAAAGGCTTTCAAATCAGAGACTTCTTTACAACGAGAGTGACTGGCAGATGAAACAAAATTAGCGCAACTTAAACTTGCTTAAGTCCCCTTTGGTGACTCCCATCTCTCCAGCAGCGAGGGAGTCCAATCTCGTGATTTAAAATGAAATTTGACAAACAATCAGAGAAGCAATGAAGAAGTTTTGCATCCTGCTAGAGACAATGAATAACCAGAAGCTGGCATATTCTATCCGCAGGAACAGTGGTGGTCTCCGATTCAGGGTGTTTAAAAATGATGTACCCAATATCAAAGCAGTATATTACACGATGGCAACATGTTACAATTACACGAAAAGTTGCAAACGGTTTAATGAGTTATCAAGTTTAACTAACCATTTTATAAATGCTCTATGTGCCCTCCACCTGCTGTACGGACAACATCCACTCCTTTACCAAAACGGCATTGAAACGCACGCTGCACCCCAATTACAGATTCAGTCTTGCTGAACTGCAGAACGCAAAACGCCTTGTGTTGCGGGGGTCACCATCTTGCCATATGACTGAGGCTAGGGGCTGTTTGTGCGCTGGGAGAGGCATCGAGCGGTAATCATTTAAAACTCTAAGCCCCGCCCTCTCTATGCCCCGCCCTCTCTATGCCCCGCCCTCTCTATGCCCCGCCCTCTCTATGCCCCGCCCTTTCAAGTGGTAAGAGTTTCGTTCATGGGCGGTTCGTGGTTGCAGAGATATAGCGATTTCAAATCGGGTCCATCACTTTTAAACATCCTATACAAATTTACGATGTTTTTTGCACAAAAAAATACGGTTAAGTAGATCGGGATGAAGTAAAATAAGCAAGGGAGTAGTGCTCATATCCATTGCTGACTGAGCCAATGTTCCACATTCCCTTGGCTGGGTCCATTATGTCCATAGGTTGACCACTGTTCACGTCCTGCAAAGTGGCACTTTATTTATTTGTTAGTCTTTTTCCCACAATGTATTCCAATAGTGTGAATGGCATAATGTTATGAAAAGAGAAATCAATCATGAAAATTTCACAGGGAAATGTGTCTATGTGCCAGATAATGGCTGCACGAGAGATTTTTCACAGGACTTCTGCAAAAAAATGCAAATAGCATTCTGATCCTAAAATTAATTACAGGTGTCTCTTGGCATTTTAACCAAGGTTCTCAGCGCTTCCAGTTGAGCGATCTGACGTCTGGACCACTCGGGCATGTTGGTACTTCCATATTTGCCCAGAATTAATGGTAGTCTCTCTCAACCCTCCAACCAGGATTTTAACTCACCAGCCTAGGTCCCACTATGAATATTGGGTGAGAGCAGTGGAGAGGTGGTGAGCAAAACCGTGCCATGAACCCAGAAAGCCAAATTAAATTCCTGGCCACGACCAACATCTGAAATCATCCAGGGTGCCCCTTGCTCTTTACCAATCCTCACTGAGCAGTATGCTGAAGTATGGTCTCAAACAACCTCCAGTATTTTGAGATATTCTTCTTCCTGTGACAATCTGTGTTTCCTGGTTTCTGGTACCTCCGGGGTTAGTGTGAGCTACTTAGAGTTCCCCTGGCTGTCACCTTTGTTGTACACGTTGGTCGGCACTTGCACGTTGCTGAGCGATGTGTTGACGGCCAGGTTGTTGAAGTGCGCGTTGGGCTCCAGGATGAACTCCCTCGCCAGCTCAATGTAGTTCCCCTCCTCATCCACGTCGTTGATGAACACCGCGTTGTAGTAGTCGTACTGCGAAACCAGGCCCAAGAGCGAAATGCGTTCACCCAGTGAGTGCAATTATCAAGTGGCCAGGCGGTGCAGCTGGCCCATGAGCTGGTGATGCTCGGGTGCTAGATTCCGAAGAGTTGGCAAGGGGTTAGTGAGCGCTGGCGATTGGCTGAGGGCCCTGGCACCACCGGATTTAGGCGGAGAGGCAACGTGAGGCATTTGCCGAGGGTGCTGGCAGATTGTTGGGACTCGGGAGGGGCACAAATGTCAAAGTCCTGTAAACTTAAACTATAAACTATTTTTTTATTTTTTCAGGTAAGGCCCACTGAGCTATATAGTTCTTTTTCAGAAGCGACTTGGCCAAAAAATTATCGCTTAACGAAGTAGTTTATCACGTGTGAATTTATAGTAGCAACCAAATATCCTAAACGCGTGTTGATTCTAAATGTGGAGGGACAAACCGGAGGACCAAGAGAAAAATCAATGTGACCACCGGGGAAAACGTGTAAACTCCAAATATACAGCAGGCGTCAGGGTCGGGATCGAACCCACGGCTTCCTGCATAGCGGGCGAGGGAGTTAATATCTCCGAGCCACCGCAGCACGGTGGGGAGTGCACACGTGAACTGTTCAAGTGGAGCCAAGATGCCTTGGCCATACATCAACGCGCATGGGCACGTGAAGACGCGAGTTGAGACGGGACAGTGATAGAACACCGGGGGCCTGATGTATGCGTAGCACCGGGGCCCAGGCCAACCACGCCACACTGCTGCGCTCAGCATGAGGAAATGAAGGAAAGACATCGTACACAGCTGAGAATTGGCATTAGTTAACGGTGGCCGGCAAGGACAGATAAGAGCGCCGCTCTGCGGCATCCATATAAATGACGGCCACGCTTTCAATAATTACGCATCCATCTTATGGCATATGCAGACGTTATTTACGTAGGTCCGACGTCGCCATGTGGCTGACAGCGAAACGCAATGGAGAAACGTGAAGCGCCAACCTTTACCGTGCCCACGCTCGCCCGGGACAAATGTCCTGTGCCGTTTGCTCACAGCGTTTCGGTCTGATTTCGGACTCACCTGCATTTCTGAGTTGAACTCATGCTTGAGGTCTGCCTCCTCAGCTGCCTCCACCAGTCTCTGTATTAAAAAAAAAATAAACAATATTATTCTGCTGCTGCTGCTGCTGCACATTGACAAGCGCCACCAATGCTGAAGGTGCGCGGGCTCATTTACTCTGCAGCGTGCATTTGTCAGTGGCGTAAAGTCCAACTCCTCTACACCGGCTGTGTAGAGGCGCTGCAGCCAAGGGAATAGGACACTGGGTGACTTCCTATAACGCGCGAAGGAAATGGATTTGGATCTCCGCGTACTTTTGTAGTGTAATAGCGCCGGCTGGTGGACAGCAGCGGCAACTGTGGTGGACAGACAGTACACACGCCGGTGAGGGTGTAAGCACGGTGTGTGGGCAGAGCGGAGGAACTAGGGCAAGGGTCACGGAGGACCCCGTCTGGAGGCCCCTGGAACCTGCTAGTGGGTTCGAGAAGGGAGGTGCGGTCAGGGCGGCGCCAGGCCACGCTGGGAGCATAAAAGGAGCCAAAGCGGGGAGCTCGAGGCTGCCGGTTCTGGGAGTGGACTCGTCTCGTCGTCGCTGTCGTCTCGTCGCCGTCGTCGCTAAACTTCTCCGCTATATATTGCGCTACATAGGATAGTAGTTGGCTATCTCAGTCAGCGCCGCAGTGTTAGACGGGATAGTGTTGTGTACAGGCCGCTGGGCCCTCCACTCCTTTACCAACCCGCAAGGCGCAGCGTGGGCCAAGAGCATTCGACCACCTCCACCCCGCCCCCACCTCTTCCGATGGCATTGCCATTGACGCGACACGAAATGGAATTGTTGACCAGAGGATTGACTGCAACACGTTGTCACCATCCACGTTTCTGCTGCCCCACGTCTCGTCTCTTTTGGTTGTTTTGAGTCTGGCAAGTACTTCCCTCCTAGGTGACGGCTACAAGGCATTGAGGGAGCAAGCCTGCCACAGAGGTGGGCAAGGGCACAGGTCATTACTAGAATTATAACGAGGCCAGTGTTAGTCTGTGTGCGTGCGTGTGTGCGTGTGTGTGTTGGAGGTGAGGTGTTTGTAAATTGACACGGTGTGCATGCACGATGCTTTATCGTGGTGTCGGGAGCAGTGGTGCAGCGGTTATCACAGCTTCGCTATAAAACCAGTGAACCAAGTTCTATTCCCGCTGGCTATTATCTGAACCAGACCTGGGCCTCCCCTAGGTCGACTCAGACTCAATGAGTACCTAGTGTGGTGTGTAAACATTCCCACTGGGGAGACAACGGCGCTCGGGCGTGGTGCTGGTCACCGCTGACTCGGTAAACCGTGCCGGCCTTCATAGTTGCTTACTAAGAGCGCTTAGTCCAACAGTCTGTTCAGTCTGCGAAAAGGGGATCTTTATCTTTGTTGGAGGTGAGGTGCTTGTAAATTGACACGGTGTGCATACAAGATGCGTTATCGTGGTGTTTGTGTTTCTGTGTGCGAGCGTTACAGAAACATTGCATGTGAGGTGCATATAAATGTGCCAAATAATCACGATATAGAAACATCTTGACTTAAAGCTTTCGTAACTGCAGGAATTCATATTCTTTGGCTCTTTCGGTAAAGCCACGTAGATTGATCAAATAATAAAAATATTTTTATTATAATTTTTTATCTATGTGGCTTTACCGAAAGACTCAAAGAATATGATATAGAAAAAGTAATATTCACATGCTCCGCACATTTTGTGGCGTAAAAAATTGAGTGAGAAAAGCAAATTCATTATTGTAAGAAGCTCTAGCTGGATTGTTTAATAAGGAAGAATATATATATAGATTGCACTCAGTGATTAATGGCAATGCTCGCTTAATATAAAAAAAAACATCTTCAGAAATTATGTTTTCTGCATCGGTCTCGGACAGCGTTAAATGTTCCAACTATACGTTATTGATTTAAACAACAGAAAATGAAATGTGCAAATTCATATACGAGCCAGAAATAAAACTTATTTTATTAATTGTTTAAGCTTGTTCTTTCATGAAATAATCAACGGTGTGTGCAATTGAATTACTGTGATGTGTTGACACTGCACCAAAATACAAATGAAATGCATGTGTTTGTCACGATTTATGAGCAGTCTGCGCAACTCCTAAAACACTTTAAAAGGAGTGTCTGTGTCAGGGCAAAAACAAATCCATCACGCATCCTATCCTTCATAAATAATAATTAGTTTTTTTAAAGAGCTCCCATTACGCCTGAGCGTCTCAGAGTGTTTTACAAGCAATATGTCAAGGAGCATAAACAATCAAGCGAACTCCGGTCATCCTCGCAGCGGCTTTTGGCTAGACATTGAACAAAGACGGTCACTGCATCGCGCGATTTCAGTTGAGCTTCTGCGGCCGTCTGGAAAGCCCTTCCTTCCGACATTAGGTAGCCACTGGAGCTATGCACTTTTAAATCTCGATTGAAAATTCATTTATTGAGAACAGCTGTTTGTGTTCAGTTTGTTGTCCTTCCCCGACACCTCCGTGTAGCACGGTTGACTACGCTCGGTGCGACACACATACGTGTGACCGCATCACATCTCAAATATTGGAAACGGCACCGCCAATAATAGCTGATCTTGTGTGGCAAAATGTGGCCAAGCACCTGGCGTGCAGGCGTAAGTTAGTTTGCCAGTAGGGGGCGATAATTGCAACGTGTAATTCTAATTGTAGCAACGTGCAGGTCATTTTTTTCTATTTTGGCAATTGGGCTACGGTGCCGGCACACAAATGGCCCACTCATTGCAAATGACGTGAGGCAATCGTTAACGTCCACTGTGACGCAGACGGCACGTGTTTTTGTTAAGGTTGCGACACCTGTAGTAATAACCAGCGCGGCCTGACGGATGCGAACCGTGAACCGCATAGAAGTACAACACGACAATAGTGACCGTATTTTTTGCCGCGCTGTCCTCTACTGACAAAATAGTCCCACAGCACAACAGCCTTCGACGGCCGTTAAATGCGTGATGGTCACCTATCAAAACATGATCGACTATCAATGTTGATTAGCTTTCGAGATCTGGCGATATCCGGCGCATTCAGAGAGAAGTGGTTTTCGGCATTACATCCCTTTTAAACAGAGTGTGTAAATGGATATTTCCTGACTAATCACGAGAAAAACATGTTTTTGTAACAAACGTAGCAGTGTTCGGGAAAGCATGGCTTATAGAAACCAAACTGTCCCCGGTTTTTGATGTCACGACCACATTTAAAGACGGAATTTATGTTTTGGTGTGTGGCTGTCACTCTGGTGGCTGTTGAGATGAAATTGTATTGCACAGGTTACACTGGTTCAAGGTATCTCTTTTTAGAGGGAGACTGAGAGCCAGAAATGCAGACACGTTTCACTGACGGTTCATTGTGATTGTTGCCAAGATTAATTATACTGTCATGCGTTCTCTGCAATGAGGTTAACCTTAGCTGTGACAGACAGAACCGGTGAATTCAACGATGGCCCATATATACATATGGCAAAGACAATTCTCGAAACATCCATGAATCTTTTATGTCAACTAGGGCGGAGCTGTTGACTGTAATGTTGCATCGATACACTGTGAATGCAAATGTGCCCGTACGAATTTGCATGTTACCAGGTAAAGATGTATGGCTCGTTTTCCACAAGCGACTTGGCCACAAATGATAGCTCAACGGGGTTGCTTATCACGTGCAAATTTATAGCAGCCAATTACTCCGCATCATCGTCACCAGCCATGGTCAATCCACTGCTGGATGAAGGCCTCCCCTAAGCCGTCCCTATCCCTTATGCCCCTGCCTGCGATGCAACAAGCCACTGAGTACCTGCGAAACAAGCTGATTTTGATGCTCCATCTCCCCAGTAGCCGTCCCTCTCGGGCACTCACATATCTACGCTGTATTCTCCATGGACATTCTTCGTCATAAATTTATGAGATTCCGGTCAAAAAAAGTTCACAAAGTTACACTATTAAAATATGGCATCAGCTATTGAATTGATATTGACCTTATATCATTCGTACCCCCTCCCTGAGTCTGTATGCATGGAGTCAAATGATTCAGCAGGGCCAATTACACAAGCAGGCCCTGTCCAATTCCAATGTAATCTCGGTAGGTCACCCACCGAACCTCCCACTGCGTTACAACAGCCTATGCATGGAACAGCGCTCACTTTGAGAGGAACCCGCTTTTTTAAGTCATCGAGGATGTCAAAGCGAATATGACGAAGCGACGGAGAGGCTACTTAGCGCAAGACTTCCAGCGCTGCTCGCAGAAGCCGCAAGATCGATGGCAGAGATAAATGAGTTGTAAAATTGACCGCCAATAACATCTGGTAACATGGCAGCATTTGTTTAACGGGCCTGACTCGACAGCGTCGATGACACCCAGAAGGTCAAAAACCGGTGCAGAGTTTGTGTGCTTAAACAAATGCTTATTGACAATTTAGGACTGGAAAGCCAATAGGCCGATTGACTGAAAAGTATGCCTATTGATACGTGAAGGCAGAGGAGGAATCTTTACTTATACTGCCATTGGAGCGACACTCTTGGTTATCCAGAACAGAGCATACAACATCCAACAATGCAATGCGCGATCCACAAATACAAAGGAGACATTGCAGTGATACATTCCGCTGCGCCTGACGTGGTTGTCTGGCTTGACCACCTGAATGTGCAATTGTAGAGTTGTTGCTCTGCGTCTCACATCAGCAGCCATACGGAGGAATAAGAAGAAGGAGGAGAAGGACTATCATCAAAAACTCGGAGCTCAACTGTAACGGATATTAAACACATTCCTGCGGAGGGAGCTGGTAGGAACGTTGGGTTGCTCGGTCAATGGCCAGGGTCAACGGCGGCGTGGTGTATTCTGCAAATATGGTCGACTGTGAGGGCGGGCACAAGCCGGCGTGAGTAGGTTAAACGTTGAGTTTTATATGGGCACCACGGGGTGACCAGCCCCTCCCCACCCAGCCCCACCCCTCCCAGCCCCACCCTCCCCACCCAGCCCCTCCCCACCCTCCCCTCTCCACCCAGTCCGACGCCTCCCATTTTTGGATTCACGACGGACGGACGGACACAATAATCCCGTGGAATGGTGGAACCAGGTGGTTCCTACCAGTACAACGTTGCCCTATCTGATCAGCAATGCTTTGGGCAATGACTCTTATTCATAGCAGATGAAGAATCCCAGACGAAGCAGGACCATCGCCCAACATGTTGATTGCAATGTGCACTGTTTGCTATTATGGCAGTGTTGTGGATGGATGTGTCGAGTACTTTGTTGTCTTGCGCTTACGCATGCCTGCCAGCACAGTATCACGGAGAAACATCTTCATGGTTCTTTCGGTAAAGTCACGTAGAATGGAAATAATAAAATAATAAAAATTTAAACATAATAAAGTAATTCTCACGACGTTTCGGCCACAACGCAAGCAGCCGTCCTCAGGTGAAGAAACAGGTCTTAGAGTCGCGGCATCTCTTCAGAAAGGTGAGAGACTCGATTAGCTCGATCGATTTAAATCGAAATTGAATCGCCACTACGGGGTGGGATTCCACAAAACTTTAAGATCTTTCAACAAACTCCGGGATAAGAAGGCTCAGCTAATCGAGTCTCTCGCCTTTCTGAAGAGATGCCGCGACTCTAAGACCTGTTTCTTCACCTGAGAACGGCTGCTTGCGTTGTGGCCGAAAAGTCGTGAGAATTATTTTATTATGTTTTATTTTTATTATTTATTATTTCCATTCTACGTGACTTTACCGAAAGAACCAAGAAGATGAATCCCTAGATTTGAAGCTTTCGTGACTGCAAGGATTCATATTCTTAGGTTTTTTCGGTAAAGTCACGTAGGTAAAACATCAAAATTAATAAAAATAAAATAAAATAAAGATCACGACGTTTCGGAGGCAACACAAGTCTCCGTCATCAGGTGGGACAGTCACAGCCAAATTAGCTGCATCAAGTGAGGCAATGATTCAAGATGTAATCCCTTAAAAGCGAGTTGGGGGGGAGGAGAGGGGGGGGCTCATCAGAATGTACGTTCCATTCATTGGCTACCACATTCTGATGAGCTCCCCCCCCCCTCTCCTCCCCCCCCAACTCGCTTTTAAGGGATTACATCTTGAATCATTGCCTCACTTGATGCAGCTAATCTGGCTGTGACGGTCCCACCTGATGACGTGTGTTGCCTCCGAAACGTCGTGATCTTTATTTTATTTTATTTTTATTAATTTTGATGTTTTACCTACGTGACTTTACCGAAAAAACCTAAGAAGATGAATCCCCGCAGTCACGAAAGCTTTAAATCGAAACGGAGAAACATGTTCGTTTCTGGACGTGATGCAGTGGGGGTGCGCAGTTTGCGTGCGCTGCACATTGGGTTGAGGAGGGTGAATGCCACAGGGTCACGACCTTCACTGCCTCCGTCTTCCTGCTCAGCATGTCCTCCATGAGCCGCGCCAGCTTGCGCACCATCTTCAGCCCGTGCATCTCCTCGATGTAGACCCTCTTCTCGTAGTCCTTGTATTTCTGTCGAGAGATGGAGAGCGCCAACAGCAGCAGCAGCAGCAACAACAACAACAACAACGGGTTAACACGTAGCAGGCTTTCGCGACCAATATTATTCATAATAAAGGTTTTTTTGTGGATTAGAGCGCTTAAGTATAAATGTGTCGTAACCCTCCACCATCCGACACAGCCTATTCTGGAAAATAACCCGATGATGCTGGATGTAATTACCAGCGAAACGTCGTACTACTCAAATTGTAAATGGTATGGATTTACTCTCCAATACACCGGTGGACTGGATATAACTATTTGGCGTTTTGTTTACGTGACAAATCCCTTATTAATTGGCTGTGTCGGGTGGTGGAGGGTTTCTACACATTCATACTTACGCGATCTAACTCAAAAACCTTTAATATGAACAACAACCGCCATTCGCCACAAAGCGGCAGTGACGTCACCACGGCCACGTGCACGATGTGCCAGGCCACGTGCACTCAGTGTGGAGAGCCAGGCTCCTCGGTCAGCCGAAGGAGCCGACGGCAGCGAGTCAACGTGAAGCAGCAACGTAGGATGGGTTTTGCACGCTGCCTGTGCTGATATTAATCACGACTGCAACAAGAACAGCAGCAGCAGCAGCAGAAAGCAGCGTCTTACGTTTGTAATGCGCTCAGAGCGTAACGGACGTCTCAAAGCGCAGGAGCAGATGATGATGATGATGAAGAAGAACGGGATAGGGAGGCAACGGGGAGCGACTGAGCAAAGGGAATTAGAGAAAATTGGGCAATTGTGGGAATCCAAAGGTGAGTTCAAAGAGGAAGGTTTTGAGGAGACAATTGAAAACAGAGAGAGAGGGGGAGGGGGCACACAGAGACTTGGAGGCAAGGTTGGTGGATCACAGCAAGATGGAGCAGTCATGGATGTGAGATACACAACCGCAGGGAGACAAAGTGCCACCTGTAAGAAGCAGTATAGAAAGTAGATTTTAATGCATCTGTATTCTTCACAGCTTTCCGTCCAAACACTTTGAACTTTGACAGTTCAACTAGTAGCTTTCTCCCGCTGAATATTGGGATTTATCCAGTCGCTGTAAATGTATTTTCTCGTGTACAATTACTCAGGGAGATTGTGAAACAGCGTGAGCAGGTACCTCCTGAGCAGGATGGTGTTGGTGTATCACATGCATTAAATAAAGTTTCCCAAACCCCATGGGCTGTGTGGTGGCTATTTGAGTGCTAACCCCTTGTGTCTATGGGTTTTCTCTGGGAGCTCCAGCTTAATTTAATTCCACACACAATTTAATTCCACAGATAAAACACCCCGTCACATTTAAGTGGATGCAACACAATGGTATGACCGTCTTTAAAAACGAGCGTAAAACACATTATTAGTGATATTTCGTGTTATAGAGGAATGCAGCCACCGCTAACATCAGTGGCGAGCGATACAATCAGAACTGGTCCTACCATCGCCTCACGCTCTTCCCTCCCCCCCTTCTTCACCAAGCCGAAGTGACCAGCATGGTGAAGTATGTAAAAATAACATACCTATGCCCGACATGGCATGAGCAAATCTTCAAATATCGGTGGATAAAAAAAACGGCTTAGAATGTCTAACTTCACATTTTTTTAAACCTTTGTTATGCAATTTCAAGGGAGACTCTTAGCATAGACATCAGTGTCGGATTAAGCTAGTGCGGGGCCTGTAGCATATTGTTATAAAGGGGCCCTAAATAAACAAACACACGTAAATATAAAAACACACATTTTTTACTTGCATAGTAAATTGTATTTTTTCACTTGCTATACAGCCAGATAATACAACAAATCGCTAACCTTAAACATCCAGTCGTTAATAAAAGTTGAAGGCAGTATAGTACTTTAGTAATAGAGCAAGTGCAGAATCACTGCACCGGAATTGATAGCTTGAAATCATTAAGCGCGGGGCCCTTGAAAGCGCGGGGCCCGTAGCTACATCCGTCACTGATAGACATAATGAGTTCATAATCAAGGTTCTCAGAAGTAAAGTTATGGAAACATGGCAAAGTGCCTCGCATCGCTGCTGACCGCTCTCGGTGGTGTTCGCTCACCTGGCGGCCGCCAGCAGGTCGGGCTGCTCGTGTGCAGGTGCGAAGCGAGGCTGATATCGATCTTTTTAAATCCTTTATATTAAGTTCGCTTGCTTGCGTGCTTGCTTGCTTAGGACCGTGCAAATCTTTCGCTCGTTTTTTAACCCACTTCCCGTGATCCAATCGAGCTGACATTTTGCACACAGACTCGTTGTGCGAGACAATTAATGTTCGTGAAATTTTTTTCTCCAAAATTATACATTGTTTAGGGAAAACAAATTAAATATTTAATTACCAATTGCTTAATACTGGCAGACAATCATCTGACCCATAGGTGGCAGCCATCTCAAGCCAGAGGACGAGAGGACTCTAGCCGCCACGCATATAAAGGATTTATAGTGAAAAACTTTGTTTTTACGGGTTTACTTGTTCGATTTAAAGCTTTCGTGACTGCAGGGATTCATCTTCTTGGTTCTTTCGGTAAAGTCACGTAGAATGGAATTAATAAAATAATAAAAATAAAACATAATAAAATAATTCTCACGACGTTTCGGCCACAACGCAAGCAGCCGACCTCAGGTGAAGAACAGGTCTGTCGAGAAGACCTCAGGTGAAGAACAGGTCTGTCGAGAAGACAGAGTCTGTCTTCTCGACAGACCTGTTCTTCACATGAGGACGGCTGCTTGCGTTGTGGCCGAAACGTCGTGAGAATTATTTTATTATGTTTTATTTTTATTATTTTATTATTTCCATTCTACGTGACTTTACCGAAAGAACCAAGAAGCTGATATCGATCGCTGCGAATATCCAGCCCATGCACCCCCCCCCTCCCCACGTCTCGCGCGCTGCTGCTAGGAGACCCAGAAAGGTCACAGCTCCCAGCGTGGAACAAAACGAACCCATCAGCAGGATCAAATGACGGATAACTCGGCGCCTGTCGGAGCTATCAAATCGGTTTATAACAGCTCATGAAGGGTATAATTATTATTATTGGTATGGGACAATCATTATCAGCAACATCGTAGTTTGTATCATCACCATCATCATCCTCATCAGCCATGGTTTATCCCACGGCTGGATGAAGAAGACCTCTTGTCGCCTGCCCACGCTGGTGATGAATGATGTGGAACTCACTCCCGCACAGGATGCTTAACGCATTGTCCCATCCCTTTAGTGATTGCCCCTATAGGCGCGCTCTCTCCTTTACGACAATTCTTGTCCATTTTGTGATGTGTCCTGCAAAAGGCAATTTTTTTAAAATTGATGAATATCAATCACTTTTTGTTCACAGTGTAACTGCGATTCTCGCTATCGCCTGGGTATTCCATATCGAGACGTAAACACAGCTGAACTTAAAATATTTATGGTTCTCATGTTAAGGGTTGTGACCGAGAATATTTTACGTACGCTATGAATAATTATGGGTTGTTTATATAGACACCAGTAAGCTACATGTGTAGTGCTTCAATAAAGACATACACACTACGTGAGTTGAGGCATTACACATGTACGAGTGATATGGCGTAATCATACGCGTGGTTCAGGACTTGTTTTCTTTTTAAATGTGGCTGCGATGAGGGTAACCGCACACCACGTGGATCCTGGGGGTTATTTGACCATACTTCGACGCGCTCAGTGTAGGTTGGTGCAGTGGGGAAGCATAGGTTTTGATTTATCATACAGTACAACAATGGATTTTACTGCACGGCGATCTGCGGGCAACTCAGCCCCGCAGCAGCAGCAGCAGCCTACAGACACCAGTTCTGTACGTGGTGGTCGCACAATTGTTTGACTTGCATCCCACTGGGATTTTTGCGCACAGCATTGATATTCGGTGCTTTTCCTGGAAGACTTTGCTGTTTTTCCCGTATTTTTCTGTTGCGCGTAGTCACTTTAAGATGTTTCTTGTTCATGTTTTTGTTTGTTGCGGTTGCACCCGATTCAAGAGCCGAATGGTTCACAGGGCTATACCTAATAAATGAAACTGAAACTGAAAAACATCCAAGCAGTATCCAGACTCGACGTAGCGTGGCTTCTGAGATCTGACACTATCAGGCAACATAGTTGTGAATGTATGAGTCGGTTCTTTCATGGGATGAGATACCTCAAGACAAACAAAATTAGGTTACCACCGTTCTAAACCAGTGTTTCATTGGGCCAGCTTAGCCTCAACAGGCGTGTGCGGTTAAAGACCACGATATGTGTATTATGTGACAGCAGCAGGCAAGCGAGTGAGGAAGCAGAGGCCTCTTCCTTCCCATAATTGGCTCATTCTCTACGTGCCGTAAGAATGTAAATGAGCTTAAACTACAACAGAATCGCGAGCCGAACAACGGGTTTTCCCTGCCGAGTGGACACCGCGAGAAGGCAAAAAGAAGCAGAGGAAGACAGAGGAGGAGTGCGGAGGAGACGACGAGACGAAATCAACGAGGTGGGGAGGCCAATGCCGCGCAGGAGCAAACGGGGGAAATGGAATGAATGGAAGAATATTGGGGAAGCATTCTAGATTTGAAGCTTTCGTGACTGCAAGGATTCATATTCTTGGGTTTTTTTACGGTAAAGTCACGTAGGTAAAAAATTTAAATTAATAAAAGTAAAATAAAAATAAATTAAAAATCACGACGTTTCGGAGGCAACACAAGCTTCCGTCTTCAGGTGGAACCGTCACAGCACGATAGCTGTATTTTTTACCTACGTGACATCACCGAAAAAACCTAAGAATATTGGGGGTTACCAGCTGACGAGAACAACGACAACAGCAGCAGCAGCAGCGTGGGCTCGTCGCAAAAAAGGACAAAATTGCAATGAAATTTCACCAACATGGAACGTTCACACGCGATGACATGTCGTGCACGCTGCCATTGAGTCCAATCGGGATATTGCATTCCCAGCCAACTTGGCAGAACAATCTCCTTGGCACTGAAATTTGCAGCGCTGCGCAACATTGTGAACACTC